AAATTTAAGCGTTTTAAAAAACAGTTTCTGATTTTGAAAGTATGTGTAATGCATTTTTTTCGAATCGCCATTAAAAGTACAAAAAGATAGTTAGTCCACTGAAAAGTAGGGTAATCCAACAGGGAGAAAAGTCCGACCACGCCCACTAAAGTCCAGCCGACACGCCCACATTTGTTGGGAACCTTGCCAAGTTTGTTCAAGGTGAAATGGATACGTATAGTTTGTTCACAGAAGCCTGGTGGACAGTTCAAAGGTTCAGAGAAAGACCTGAAACAGGTCCTGATGCTAAAAGTTCTTTTAGCCTTTTTTCAATGGGACTATCGAGACAGAAAAATTGACGTCTCTTTCCTTCGTTTAGAACTTTTGAGTGCAGCAAAGTGTTAAGTACAATATCCTTACAACTTCCATACGTCACTGAAAAACTTCGAAACCTGAAATCCGATCCCGAAACAACTGTTCTGAAACTTTTCCTAACATTTTCACAAGACCAAACCTTCAAATTTCACTTAATAAATATCATTGAAAAACGCCTGCAAAAAAGAGCACCTGGTCGCTAAAGTGCACTAGTCGGTAGTTACTCCAAAAAAATCCATGGCAACAAAAACGGCAAAAAAAGGAAACAAGGAATAATGGGGATACTTTCCAACAGAAAAAAATACTACTTCTTTTCTGAAAATAAAAAAGCATAAAAAATCGTAACTGCTTCATTGATTGCTCAATCAAGACCTAAAGCTGGAAAATATGAACCCAAACGGCGCAGAACAAGTCTGCGCCTAACAAGAATTCAATTTTGAAATTACTACTCCTACTCCAAAAAAAATCTCAAAATTTTTCGACCCTGGAATTCCTCTTCTGAAAATCGACATCGCTTCAAACCAAATCTCTGGGATGCTTTCGAGAAAAATCCGTATCAGGTCTGGTGCAAAAAAGTCTCCACTGTTAAGAAAACCATTCCATCTGCGACCGTTTTATCAAATTAACACAAGCAGAAAATGCTTCCTGCATTTCTGATCTAGTCCCAATAAAAACACTAAAGATTTCATCGATCAAAAAATCAACAGTATACGGTCAGAAACTCTTCACGATTGGATTATTTTCCGGTGTTTCTCTCTTCTTTTTCCGATAGCATGTCTATCATGACTACGAAAAACAAAAGAATAATAACAACCAAAACGTAGGCGGAGAAAGGAAAAAAAAAGGAGAAAATTCCAAGGAAACGCCAATTTCTCACCTTCCACGGCACGGCTTTTTCTCTTCGAAAAAACTCAGGTGGAGCAAGCAGAGATTTTTTTTTTTTCAGTTCCGCTTATTATCTTGCAGTGGAAGTAGTCTAGAAAGATTCTAGTTTGAGTCAAATTCTTAAAGACTTGAGATCTCGTGTTGCATTGATTTTGTGATTAAAATCATTGATTGAAATAAAACACAAAATTAATAAATCCGCTAGTCCATGATCCGTTTTGAGCCCGAAATCGTAGAAATCTCTCTATTTTCCATTCACAGTACATTGCAGATGATTATCACAAAAATTTGGAAACTCATTTTCAAACGGAAATTTCTTTTGTCGAAAATTGAGAGGCTTTTCAAAGATATGACAGATTGAAAAAAAAAAAGTTTCGAAAAATCTGCAATAAAAAATACCGAAATTTCAAGGGCATTCTTTCAGCTGACGAGCCAATCAGAAAAAAACTATGAAAAATCGAAAAGTTCTCTCATTTTCTCGAAATAAGAGCAGAATAAACCCAAAGGAAACCGTTAAAAAAGAACACTCATCATGAATGAATGAGTTCTCAAACTTTTCCGGTCAGAAGAAGAGACGCGGTTTCGTTGCCATCGTTCAAAAAAAAAAAGAAACGTCAAAGATACGCCTCATTTATCACCAATTATGGTCGTGGAAAACCCATTTCATGGGCAATTAAAATCGATAAGAACACTACTGATAACCGTAAAAGGTGGCTTGTTTTGGGCTAATTTTCTTTAAGGTTGCGAAAAAGGCAGAAGAAGACGGATTTTCGATAATCTCAACAATTTTCGATAAAACTGTGTTTCCTTTGAAAAATAGTACAAGCGCGAAAAAAACCCCTTTTTTTATTTATATATTTATTTCATTCACAAGGAGAAATAGTCTTTTTCGCTGATAAAAATATGAAAAATAATGAAGATAAACAAACTTCCATAGTAAAATTAAAGAAGAAGTCTCAAAAAAAGCTTTATGTATTCTTATTTCAAGCTCCATTCTCCTAACTTAAAAGTGAAAAACTGGAAAAACTACAGAAATTTCGATTATTTCAACACAAAATAGCATGAAAATTGCCTTTCTAGTAAAAAACGACACAATTTTTTATTAAAAGCTCAAAAAAACATAAGTCATCAATTCCGCTGAGAGCTAAATCGCTCGGAAGACGAAATTTAAAAAAAAATCAATTAGCATTTCTAAACCATAAAAAATGAACAGAGAACCTCAAAAACCCACTTCCAGAACCTCATGACCGTTAAAAAAATTTTCCAAATTTCAATGGGGAGAACTTGAAAAGTGACTCAACATCATGATGACCGCCAAAAAAGGGCAAACAACTTTTTTGCGAAACCAAAAAATGTCCATTAAAGGATTATATAACACGTTCTGCAAACACTTCAAAATTCAGAGAGGAGAATCGCAAGAAAAATAAACGCAGAAAAATGAAACTTTTTCGGGTTTTCAAGCGTAAGAAAAGCAAAAAACGGAGCAGTGGATGTTGTGAAATAAACGGAAATTGACACTGGATCAATGTTTCGAAACTTGAAAATTTTCCAAGTAATTTTCACGAAACTGAAAATAATCTCTGACTTTCTGAAATTTAGTTATCTTTCCCACTTTCTGAGGATCATTTTGAATTTTACGGAGTGAACACGGCATTATTAATCAAAGCATCAATTTATCATCAGGAGAAATTCTTGGGAAAGCTGGCAAAACGGGGCCATAAAATAGACTTTGACAGCTGGCAAAGCAGAAAAAAAGCTTATCTCTCTTATCTCGCGCTCTTTTCAGGCCATTCGTTCGGAATAATCTCAATAATTCTTCTCATCTTCATTATTCTTTCTCTGAGAAATGAAGAAAGAGACTAAAGAGAGTCCCAAAAAGTCACAAAACATAAAGCAATTAATTATTAAAATGAACTTTCAATCAGAAAACCTGATATGAAAGAACTAACTGAATAGTTGAACTGATCTTAGAGCTGGATAAGTAAAAAATTGATTTTCACGGTCAACGAAGGCTCGAAATGTGAGAAACTAGAAAAAATGGCCCAGTTTAATTCAAATTGTCCAACAAAATCGACCGAAACCCGAGCTATATTATCCGTAAATTAATAATTTGACATGAGAAAAGTTGATTATACTCTCATGGTCAAAAAAAAAGACTCAAAATAGGTATATAGTGAGAAAAGAAAGAAAAAGATGCCCTATTTTGCCCCAACTTTCCAACAGAATCGGTCAAAATCCAAGCTCAAAACAGCCGCAAATTAATCGCCATTGTTCTGCCGAGAAGAAAACAAATAAAAAAGAAAAGAAACGATGAAAAGCAAGTGTAGGTGAGCCATATGTACATGTGCCGTTTCTCTTCCTACTTCTCTCTCTCGATTTCTTTCTCTTTCTGCGCGGAGGGAGACCAAAACGAACGAGCAAACGGGTGGAGCAAAAGAGAGGAATTATAACAGGGAGGAAGGGCGGTTCCAAGCGGCTCTCCTACTACAAACCCCGTCGCCAGGGCTCGTTGTAAAATGGATGCACCGCGATTTGTTGCCAAATTCCAATTGTCCCATCCAATCCTAATCATCTCAAACTCCTTCCTTCTACTATTTATTCAGAAAACATGCAGAAAGAGCCGCTGAAATTGATCTTCTTCCTAATTTTTTTCTTCTTAAATTTTTTTCCTATATTTAGTTTTTTGAAAAACAAAAAAATGAAAATTCCTCGTTTCAAATTGAAAACTCTCATCAAGCGGCGGCGCAGCGTCGCGTGCGACAAAAAAATGATTTTTTTCAAGGTTATTTCCTCCGGAATGGAAGAAGAGAATAAAATTATTAAATTCAGCGGAAAAAATTGCATAGGAAAGAGCTTTGAAATTTTGAAAAAAACTTGAAAAAAATAAATAAAAAAACTTTTTGGCCTGGTCATTTCGGGTCTTGAAAGTGATATAACTTTGTTCGTTCCGAGAATTTCCAGAGGAAAGTTATATTTTTGATTTCAGCGGAAAATTCTGAATAAGAAATTGCTTCACGGACTGGGTTTTTTTCATTTTTCAAGTTATATTTTTTTTTAACCAGCCCAACCAGTGGTCTCAAATATGATCTAATCCCGTTTTTTCTCGGATTTCGAACATTTTCAGTTTGGTTTTTAATTTCTCTATTACGGGAAGAGATTTATATTTTCGTAGATTCAGCGGTTTTATAAGAAAAACAGTCCTAAAAACACAAAAAGTTGAAAAAAAGAAGAAAAATTTAACTTCGTATAAAGAGTACATTTTCCAGAAAGCCTCCAGAACTTGAATAAATATTCTTCCATCTCCTCTGAATCACTCCCAGCTGTGAATATATCATCACTCTCAAAATTCCGTTTAGAGAGAAAAATCTGGCGACGAAATGCAAAAACAAGATCCCAAAAAAGGAAGTTATCAATTTTATAGAAAAGTCAAAAAAGAGGAAATTTTTAGAGGGAGAAAATGACAAGTTAACTTCAAAATCGGGTTTTCATCGGTAGTACACGGATTTGGAACAGGAAAAAATAGAAAGACCGAAAAAGTATATAAAAGTGCATTGACCTTGGAATAAAGACCAATGGACATTAATCTTTCCGGGGACTAAAATAATTGAAGAGGAAACGGAAAAGAAGAAAGGTTAGCCTTGAAACGCGATATCACTCACGCAACTTCTCACGTCCCAAACAAGGCGTTCTCTTTTTTTTGTTTCTTTGCAAAATTTCTTAGTTCTTTTCGACACAAAAAGTGGAACTGATGCGATTTCGTCTCACGGATGATTGCCCATCTCCTTTTCACGTCTTCTATTTGACGATCCTGTCCAAGAATCTGAATGGCTATTTGAAAAAGTCTCTCAAACCCTGAAAACAGCTCTTCGCTTCGTAACCTTTTTCCAAACTCGTCTATACTCCTTTAAAACTCAACAAGGACTTTCATATGAACACTACACAGTGAAATAGGGGAAAACCCCAAATAAAAGCAAGAAAAATAAGTTAAAATTGTTTAGGTAAGTTATAAAAGCAAAAACATAGCTCAGTCGGTTGCTTTTTGGTCTACTGATAAAAAGGTCAAAAGTTCGGTACCGCTGCTGGTTTAGCTGTAGAAGCTCCGCAAACTTATCATAGTAATTTACCGCAGGATGAAGTTCTTTTTTGAACTTCCATGGCTGAGTCGGTTGCATGATATGATATTGCTCAAAAGGTCATGAGTTCAATCCCATGGGTAACCTCCAAAAAAGACATAATTTGATCAGGTAAATGTCCAGCAGAGTTGTCATTTGCAGACAACTTGAAGAACAAAGCCCATGGCTCAGTTGGTTGCGTTCTCGGCTAACAGTCACGAGGTCATGAGTTCAATCCCCATCCAGAAAAGAGACTACTTACGTTATGATTCTCCTCAACTTACTGATTTTAAGATCACAGAGACATTTTCAATTTGGAATTCCCAAGACGGCTAGTTATTTTTTAGACTATCAATGAACTTTTTTTCTTTCTTCCCCAATCTTTTTTTTTAGCTTTTTTTCCATTTCATCTTCTTTTCGAAATTAAAACTGCCTAAAATTATTAAAAAAATAAGAAATATGGAAAAAAAGAGACGCACCGAAATGTTCCAAGGCCTTGATGATGTGGTCCTCGTCCATGTAGAGAACGTCGTTTTCTCTTCCTCCAAGTGGCACTCGCTGGCCTTTAAACCTGAAAATGAATTAATTGAAACAACTGAACAATACATGATAAAGACGAGTGAGAAAAGCTTTCAACAAGCGATGTCATTTTATTTTGCGGTTTCAACTTTCTGAAAATTCGCTCAAACACTCACAGAAGGCCTAGATCAAGACCCCTCATGGCCGCTACCTGCGCAAACTTCCAGTTTTTTGATATGCGATTTTAAAAATTTCAAAATATAGATCTTAACTCTGAATTATCGAATTTAAAAAATGATTTAGGCGAAAACTAAAAGTTGTTACTATGAAGGAGCTCATTTAAATCTTCAGCAGGCTCGGGCGCGGGCTGGCCCGTTACTCATCCGCCCCGGCCATTTTCTAAGCCCGACCTTGCCTTAGCAAGGCCTCAAGCAAAAAAGCCTGGACTAAAAAGCGAAATTTTCTCAAAAATTGAATATCATATAATGAAAAAATTTACACCTTTGTTATCAACAGAAATTGGGAATTCACAAGGGAAAAAAATTCGGTGAAAAACTAGGAGTTAGAATAAAAACATTTTGATGGAATACAAATCTATCAGACTTGGAATCGAAAAAAACCAAATTCTCAAGACTTTAAGTGGAAGATTACTCATTTTTCATTCATGAAAAATTCAAAAATCATACACGAACCTCTTCGAAACTACCAGCATTCCTATCCAAAATCAGCAGTCTAGTCAGTAGATAACTTCAAATCGATTGCACAAAAAAACCAAAATGAATCACTAAGGAACGCCTCGGCTAACAACTCCCTTATCAAATATCACCGCATTCCTTTTTTATCAGCAAAAGAGTTAATTTTACAGGAAAATAGAAGCTCAGAATGATGAAAGAACAGAAATCAAAAGCTCCTTTTTTTTTATTAGAGTCAAAATTTTCCTTTCCTTCAGAAAGTTAACAGAAAAAAAAGCCGTCTACTTCAAAAAATAAACAAAAAATCTTCGGATAGTTGAATCTTCAGTTACCCTAGCTGCTTATATCGATATTCGACATTTGAACCATCAAAAAATGAAACAGATACTTTCACAGGGTCTAGAGAAAATTTCAGAACATAAAAATGAAAAAGAGCCCCGTAACCATTGACTACCGCTCTTATTATTGCCATAATTAAATTTACAACTAAAAAACTGAAAAAAATAATCTGAAAAAAGTAGAACACTCAATCTTTTTAGAAGAAAGTCTGAAATCAACCAAATTCAGAACAATAACTCGGTCAAACCAAATTCAGGACATGACTCGGCAGTGGGTACCGGACAGCTTTCAAAAGCACTCACAATGACTCTGACTTCTTTCTCAAACAGCTCAGAAGTACAAACTTGTCTATAGTCAATTCCGATCTATTAAAAAATGAGCGTGGGACAAAGATTTATATTTTTATGAATATTATTTCCAAGATGATAAACTAGCAATTTTTTGTGAAGAAACTCAAAAAGAAAGAAAATCGTACAGAAACAAGCTGAACACAGCTGCATATTGAATACCAAGACAATGGCGCAATAAAAAAAGGTACCGACAAAAGGGAAGAAAAACGCCGTAAAAACAGTTATCGTCATATTTATTTTTTTTTTCTCTGTAGATTTTTACTTCTTTCATAACAACCACACTTTGATTATTCCTTCCTAGTTAAAAATTCGAAAAAAATGAAAGAAAGTTCGACTTTTTGAAAAATGTTCTACTTACTCAGAGGAAATGTGCGTTCTGAAATTATTTTCGAGGAATTTCGCACACTCCCGCAGGCTCATAACAGTTGTATAAAAGAACTTGGTTTTTAAAAACGCAACGTTTTCAGAAATAAAACAGAATTCAGTTGGTAGGGAAGGAGGGGTGGATTTTTATTAAATTTTGGAGAATTAGGCATCAAAGTAAGTTTTATGCTCGGCAGTGTGTTAGAAAAAAAAATCGAGTTTCAATTTCGGGAGATAGTACTGTTTTTAATTTAGGAAGACTCGGCAGAAAATGTTGGCGGCTTTTGAAAATAGTCTGCCCATCTACGGCTTCCAGGCGTCCACCGGAAACAAAAAACGGACGACAATCAGGGTGGCAAAACTTAATCCGGGACGCAAATTCTCCGTCTCGGTCGTGTTCCAGCAACGAGAGCGAATTGGACGCTCCAAGGGCAAATTTCTCCTCGGGGAATGAAAAAAAAAAGGAAAAAAAGAGACACCACGGAAAACAACGCGGGTGTTCCCGAAGTGTCTTTTTCGCAGAACTCTAAACAGCTTTTCAGATAGGTACAATGACTATAAATCGTTTCTGGAACTTTTTTTTACAGAACATTTTAAAATAATACCCTTCTAACCAAAAGTTTTTCTATTCTCTCGCGCCTCTCCACTTTTCAAATAGTTTTTTCGATATTTTTCGCTTTGTGTTCAAAGTGAATGGCAACACTGCTCCTGCAGCTACTAATAAAAAGAAAAAAAAATCAGCTAAAAGGGATCGACCCATCGTCATGTGTTCCGAAATCTAACCTTCAACTAACTATTCAAAATTTGAAACCAAAGGTTGAAGAATTTATTCTTTCTTTTTTTCTGAGTTCTAGGGTTAAGTTTCCGGCATTTTTTCTCAGCAAATTCATTAAATTACTTCAGTAAACAATTTTCTAGTTTGTAATGTTTTCTGTGGAGCAAACTGTTCAGCGCTTTCTTGATAACATTAATAGTTCAGTCAGTTAGTGAAAGAAAGCGAAAATATTCATGACTCAAAGCCATTTTAAGGTCCTCACCTTCTTTTTTTGACTCACCTCTATGTAAATCAGACAAGAAACAAGGCAAGTGATTGAACAAACTATGAAAAATAATGACTTTTAATCACATCAACGTCCGTAATTGAAGCGGTTAGTTCGCAATCGACAACTTTGTACCATTTTTTTCAGTTACATACGTGGGCCACTGAAAGCACGATTAGTCCAAAAAAAGGAGCTGAATTTTAAAAAAATGTTGAGAAATAACGTATTAAAATGTTTGAAGCCCAGGGAAGTTTGTGCTAACAAAAGTAATATTGAGTTTGAACTTCGGGAGTTAATACCGACTTTAGGAACTCGGGAGGAGGTCTCGAAGGTGTTTAAAAATGGTCTGCCCTTCTATGGCCTCCAGACGTCCTGCGGAAAAAAAAAACGGACGAGAATGAGGGTGGCAAAACTTAATCCGGATTTTATTACATATTTATCTATTTTTTTTCCCCTTTTAACCATTCTTGTACATGTCTTTTTAGTTCTTGCCTGTGAATAAATATGAAATTATAAAATTTTGTCCATGTGTGATATATTATCTATAGGTTAGAAGACTACGAACCGAGAAGGTGAAATCGGCGAAGGAGGTCGATGAGAGACGGATCGGCCAGAAGTCAAGGAAATCGTCCCGATGGAGTCCAGCGAAAGTCCGCTGCTCCCGTTGTCGACCATCACGTCGGGGATCAGCATTATCAGCTCGTTGGACATCGCTTCTGCATTTTTTCGGATCAAATTCCTGTTTTCTTTTCAAATCTGTTATCAGCATAATATAGCTCTTTTGGTACAAAATGAAAGTAAAAAAAAAACCAAATTTAGGCCTGAAGAAAAGACATAAATGCGTGCGTTAAAAATATTCAGATCAAAAGAGAAAAAGACAAATAGTTCTTGATCCATTTTTAAGACTATTCGCCACTTGGAAGCGGCCGATTTCTCTACATTCTCCCTTGTTCACGACCAATTTCCATTTTTGGAAAAAAAATTGTTGCAAGTAGCGTAGAAAGTTTTTTTCGAAAAGTTTCAAAACTTATGGCGTTACTGCACTGGATAAGTTTAAACATAGGAGTAGAAAAATGGAAAATTCGCGAGCAAAAAGTAACCGTTTGCAAAGAATACCGTGAGAGCTCTCGAGATAAAACAGAGCCGCTTCGTTTTGAGACAGAAAAAAAAGTTTGCGCAGAGAAAAAAAAAATACATGTTCAAACATTTTTTTGAAATAATTGGAAATTCAAAAACAAATTGAAACGAAAAAAGTGAAAAATAGAAATATTTTTGGTTTTTCTTTTCGAAAGTCGCTTGAAAGAAGAAAGCCTAGTCAACTTATTTATATTTATCTAAAATTAAAGCCGAAACGCGTTTTTCGCATTGGGAATGGCTAAATTTCCAACTTCTCATTGCACCCGACTATTCAACGGCTTACGCGCGCCGGCGTCACCAAAAAAATGAGCTCTTTCTTGCAAAACCAACGCATTAAGCCATTCCGAATGCGAACAGAAAGTTTCAAGTCGTTGCAAATTAATTATTCCGTTAAAAAATACTCTTTTTTAATCGCCGCCACGTCCGAAGAACAACTAAATCTTTTTATCCGCTCAAAAATCACTTATCAAAACTGATTGATGCAAAAATCATGAGAAAAAAATTCGGAGCCTTTCGCAATGAAATAAAATTCGAGGACAAGTTTCTTCCAATCGAAAAATGATCTCATCCTTCGTGGCGCACCCTTTTCTTATGTTTAAACAATCTGAGAGACGTAAAACAATCTCTTTTTTCACTTGGAATCCGCATAAGTGCTTGTTTTGTTTCGTTTCGAAAAGCCCTTGAAAATATATGGAGATGGCTGGAACTCCGGATACTCATACATCAATAAGGATCATATTTCGAAACCTCTACCTTTTGATACTCGGAGAACAATCCTCAAACAGAATTTATAATAGAGACTAGTTCCAAAATTCCAATTTTCAAACAAAAAAAAGCTGGCAACGTCAATACTTTTGAGAAATTCTCTTAAATTCTAACTCAAGTACCGAAATACTCGCGAAAACCAGTTCAAATGACGTTTTGAAACCTTCAAAAAGGTCGAAAACAGACTGGGCTCCAATACCAAAACTCGCAATGTCAATATTTTCGAAATTATCCAGAAAACCAGAAAAAAACTTTCAAAAAAAAAAATTCACACAAAAATCTTGTCAAAACTAGTTGTAAGGTTCAGAATAGCCTACTTTTAACAAAAAACAGCTTGTCATTATTTTCCAGATATACTCCAGAACACTTAAAACGTGCCAAAAATTACGAACACAAATACCGATACAAAAGCTAAAGGTGAAAAAGTGAAGAGAGCGAAGAAACGCTACAAGAGCCTCAACAGTGGCCTCTCAGAAAGTGCAACCAAATCAAACAACGGCTTTCGGCTTAACAACACCTTGGGAAAGAAGAACGTCTCAGGCAGAGAGAGCCTTGTCAATTTTTTCAAAAATTTATTTTCAAACAAACGATAATCTTGAAGAGGGGGGCTAAAAATGATGTATCAGCGTTAGTTTTCCGAAATGACAAATGAGAGCCAAATTTTGGACTTAGCAAGCGGAAAAACGTGAATAAGAATGAGCTTTGAAATTTCGAAAAACATAAAAAATTAAAATTAAAATTTTTCATTTTTCAAAAATGGCTTTTTGGCTTAGTCACTATATCGGTCTTGAAAGTGTTATAACTTTGTTCATTTTGCAAATTTATCGAAGAAACTATTGTTTTTGAAATCAGCGGAAAGTTCTGAACAAGAAAACAGACAATTTTTCAGGTAAGAATTTTTTGACCAGTCCAACTAGTGGTTTTTGAACTTATCTGACTCCGTTATATATTTTTATAAATTTTGGATTCAAAAAAAGTTCTAAAACTAAAAAAAGACAAAAAATACGACTGTTTGAAATTTCTTTCAAGAAGAGACCAGACCCGTGTTCGTACGGAAACTTTCGAAATTTTTCTTAATTTTTTTCTAGTTTAGTAAGAAACTCATATTTTTTTGTATTTACAATAGATTTAAGAGCAAGAAAAAAATTTTTCAAATCTAAAGAAAAGGTGTATTTAAAGAAAAGGGTTTTTTTAAACCTAACCAGGGGGTTTTTCAGGTTGATTTGTGGATGAGACCAGGTTTTGCTAGATGCGACTTATATAAGACCACGAATATTCAATTCTTCTAGAGGAGAAAAACTTTATTTCATTTAAAAAGTGAAAATGAAGTTGATGATTTAGAAATAAAAGCAAAAAGAAGCTCTCAAAATCTGAGATTGAGCCCCGAAGAGACGTCGCATCTGTCATAATTTATAAGCAAACAAATATTGCGGGCGTTTATCCCCTTATGCGGAAGTATAAACTGTCAATTGTTAGCGGCGGATGACATGAATCTAAATATATTTGGGTTCAGCTTCGAAATAAAGCCGAAAAATCCTCCGATATAACAAAAACGGACTGATAAAACTATAGGTGTTCAACAAAATACAGCTTTTTCACTTTGAGAAACTGTTTTTGCATTTTCTATCGCTTCATTTTTAGCATATTTGAACTTGAATATGTTGAAAAAATGAAAAATAGAAAAGAAAAGTTATGTAACACAGCTGGAAAAACTGGAAAACTACGACATCAAGAAATCTATGAACTTATTTGATAACTTTGATTTATTTTTGTACTTCTGATTTTTAGCAAATTTCGACCCAATCAATCAAAAAAAAAATGTCGCTCAAACTGAAAATGGTTATAAAAAGTTTCGGAAGTCGAATGAGAGCTATGTGAAGCTCCAACAGGAGAGGAAACCTAGTCCATGTTTTGAAAATAATGATGAGCTTTCAAAGGAGAATAGCCGAAAAATAAAAAATGCTTCCATTATTGCTCGAAACTTTGAGAGACATATAAAATTAAATTAAATTGACCAAAATCTGACGCAGAAACGGAAAGGAGTCATAAAATGACGATAAAAGCTTTGAAATTCAAAAAAGGCTACTTCCCCAAGCAGAAAAAATCTTCTTATTCGCTCCCAACGCTGATAACTGTCAGAACTTGCGCAAAAATGAAATAAAAGACAAAAATCTAGCATCGAAACGGAAGAGAACGAGATCGGCCAAGTGTTGGAGTCCCACACGGCGGCCTTGTGAGCCTGACCAAAGTGTCTCGAATCGCACCCATCACAAACATGCTCACATTATCAGACCACTTCAGAGCCGCACCTTTGTACATTTTTTCGTTCTATTCGGTCCATTTTGAGCGAAAAATAATGAAAACTCATGGCTCAATTTCTGTGAGACTCATGACCATTCGTAATTACTTAAAAAACCATCTTTTCTCGTTATCAGCTTGAAATAAATTAAAAAATTATAACTTTTTGAAAATCCCTCGAATAAATAAAATCTTTCTCCACAAACATTCCTTTCTCGGACATTTTGATCAAAAAAGGCTCACCTCGACGCCCAGCAAACTTAGCCATTTTACAGGAAAACAGCTTCTGCATCGTGTTTCCTTTTACGTTGCCCAATCACTCAACTATTAAAGTCGCAAAAATCGAAAGTATCGGATCCAAATCAAGACAAACAATGCTTCGAAGGATTCAGCGAATAACCAAAACCATATAATTTTTTTCGCACACAATAAAAATTTATTTTAATAGATTTCCCACAATATCCAGAATTTAACCGTAGATATTTTGGCATGTAATGGCTAAAAAAATCATTATAATTAGGTATCATTTCACATTGAATGGATGAACATCTGGGATATGATTTGAAGTTAAAACGAAACAAAATTAACGCTGTTAGGAAGGTACAACAAAAGAGAAAAAGAAGAAAAATTATTTTTACAAGTCATTAATATTTGTTTAAGACTGCATGTGATATTGATGCGTTGACAGGAAAAACTGGAGCTTCTAAAATAAATATATTTATAAGGCTAAAAACATTTGAAAAACGTGACATTTTGTGTTCTTAGCACTGTAGTTTTTTCGGAAAAACAATTTCCGAGCCCAAAATTAAAACTTCTAATCTAATCGAACGATTTTTCGAGATTACGACAAAGTTTTGAATCTCACTCTTTCTTCAATTTTTTTAAGAGCTTCACCTCCATTTTTTTAAATCTCTAAAAAAACTGAAAAAAATCCCATTTTTTTCTTCTAGCCGTTAAAGTTTGTTTATTTTTCAAACTTTGGAATGTAATTTTTTTACACGAACCGGATCAGTTGGAACTGGCCGCGTGATATCATAGCGGAGCAAAGGGTTGGGGGCCATCTGCGGGTTGAAGGTGTTGGCCGCATTTTCCTGAAAATCGGAAAAGAACTTCACATTCGCTGCCCCTAAAACTCACAGAAACTCCACAGTTTTGCCCATAATACGCCATGTTTTGATTCATTTGCTGGCTGGCTGAAGGCATCGCGTACTGCTGGAAGGATATTCAAATATATTCATTTTCGGCGTTTGGAAAGCCACCACGTTTTGCTGGTATCCAACCGGCGCTTGGAACTGCATTTGAGGCTGAAGATATGGGTGTTGAACAATTTGTTGCTAGAAATGGAAAAGGTCGTGAGTGAAATCTGGCAAAAAGTTTTTAACTCCATCTTGGTCTGGCTTCAAACGGAATTCACAGATAAATCAAAACTAAACCTCTTTTAGCGCACGATTTTTCTCATGAAAGCCTTGTGCTAGTGGCAAAGGAGCTAAAGTGGTTTTTGTCGGGTTTGAGACTTCGCTTACCACTATTACAGCTAGTGAGTACTATAAAGATCTAAATATCCATATTGTGACCAGTTTGATAGCCTTATCCTGTTAATATAAAAATCACGGCAATTTAACTTAAGAAAAGCTGAAATTAATACCCCGTTTTGGTGGTGGATGTTCTGCGGAAGGGCAAAGGCTGGCTGAGAAATCATTTGGCTCGGTTCTTAGAATGGGAGTGAAATAAGACTATTAAAGAAACCTTAAGAAGGTTAATCATTTGAAGAACATTTGATAATGCGAAAATTCAAATTGTCGGATAAAATTTTGGTACTGTTTTATTGATTGTTGGAAAACTCTAACTCTTATTTTTTTACAAAATGAAACCGTCTTTTCTCGACGGTTTTTTCCGATCCTCAGTAGCTTCTAATTTCGAAAATTTAAAAGTTGAACTTTTTCTCTGTTTGGATGGGAAAGAAACAAGAGATCTACTGCGGCCTGAAGAGTGGCCAAACAACAACACCTACCTTTTATCACGCGCCTTTTCGAGTCATTTTCATTTTAAAGTATATGCGAAAACTAGTAATTTTTTGTAATTTCTAAGCTTCTATAACAAGCTTGAATTATATATGAGGAACCATTTTGTTTTAAACTTAGAGATGAGATGAGCGGAGAGAATTAAGAATCTTAAAGAAAAGTAGTTTTTGGTCTTTTTGTCACGTGATTTTGAATTTTTTTTTTTGAAGTTGATTTCGACTTTCATTCGAAATTCTGAGAAAAAACCAACAGGAACTTGTCCGAACGGCATCTGTTGTTGTTGTGCCGGAAGGACAAAATAGTGAGCCTAAGATTCAAAAAAAGATCAAGTACACACACATCCAAATGTTTCCAACATTAGTTTGATTCCCAGGAGTCACCAGATGACCGTGCGGGTTTTGATAAAATTGTTGCTGTGGCTGTTGGACGAACTGTTGAGGCGGCAAAGTGAAAATATTGTGCTGAAATTTCTTTGCAATTTATCGTTGTTGATTTATTATAATTGTTCAGCCGTCGGAAAATTCTGAGGTCCATTTTCCATCCTAGGTTGTTGAAAAAACATCTCTGCGGATCCTTCAAAAAACATTTCTCTTCAAAAAATCATCCTAAAAATTCGGCTGCTTTCTCTTCAACACTATTCTTTTGAAAAAAGTTTTTATGGCATAATCCAACATTTTTTTCTCCTTTTTTCAAAATCAACAAAAACCCTACTTTCTTTTTTGCAACCTCTTTAAAGCCATTCACTTTATTTTAAAAGATTAAGATGTTGGGAAATCCTGAATGTACCTGATCAGCCGCTGGAAAGTGCATATTTTGCGTCGACTCGACGAAACACCTCGGAAATCCCTTCAAAAAATCTCAAACTTCCGGGAGAAAACATTGTGAAACAAAACCTCCTCCTGAACCCTTCCACCGAACTGAAATTCTATTTCGGGCTGAAAATATTTTCAAAGTCAATGAAAAACTTGGAAAATTAGAATTACGGGACGAGAAAGGCTCCGGGTCCTGTGGATGGCCCGGAAGGAGGTCGATTCTGTTCTGGCCTGAAATTTAGAAATTCAAAATTCAACGTTCAAGGGCTCAATTACTTCATGTCGCGTTACTCTAACCATGTCGTCGGATTCTCGGCTCTGAAAAATCAAACGCTGATGTTTTTTAGAAATAAATTGGCCTTTTCTTAGATACTTCTAAAAATTGGCTTTTTTGAAAATTCAGTGTTGAAATCAACTACACAGAAACACGGCACGAGTTCTCGATCAAAAGCTGTCGAATACCATTCAGTGACCACTTCCATTAGATGAGAAATGTTCAAGTGGCCACTTAAAGAAAATATAAATTCAAATATACGCATCCGACTTGTAGCGAACTATCACCCATGGTATCGAGAATTATTAAAATAAGTAAATTATTTTGAAATCTTCTACAAGTTCTGAGAGCGAAAAAAGGAACATCATCATCTTCTTCAAACATAGGAGTCGACGTCCTGGCAACTGGCGGCATTGAAACGTCACGTCTTCTTTCTTCATTCCTATTTTCTTCTGGACGCGGCAAATCGTTCTACAAAAAAGAATTTTCAACACACATTCTCCGAGAGGGTTGACGATAGACAAAATTTTCATTGTTAAGTCGGTCCTTTCTGTCGAAAAAATGCACAATTACCATTGAAAATCAACTTTTTTTCGGCATGAAAAAAATAAATCAGTCTGAAAAAAAATTTGTACACAAAATTGTTCAATTTGTTACTGGCTTTCGTTTGGAAAAGGTTTCATTCGAACCAAAGAGAAAAAAGTTAGAAATTTTTGGTATTTTCGCTACTTTAAAAAGGGGCGGAGCCTTTCAACATGTTTATGTAATTTTTTCAAGACCTTGTGTGGTTGTTGTGACCACAATATAAGCTCAGAAAAATTTATAAATTAGGAATAACTTCTTTTTTTTTTATGAAAATCACCTGCAAATCAGATAGATCGAAGATTCGCGAGGAACTGTTCTGGAGGGAGATTTCGCTTTCCCGAGATCGAGATCCGGTCGTTGCGATATACTCTTGGAGCCGATAGTTTACACTGCCTCGCAACTGGAAAAAAAAAATTCACAAACGAAAGCTTCGGTTTGAAGAAATTACAAAGAAGTCCTCAAAACCGGCCAGAATAGCTTGTCCGCTGCAACTCGAAAGTTTTTGAGCGTCTACGTCTCTCTGTTCCCTCACCGGCAAGGTCAGAGAAGTATGAAAAAGCCCGAAAAAGTTGAGAGGGCCGCAGAGATGTCTCGCACTTTCAAGTTACGAAAAACGGACTATACTCCCTTATGAACTGAGCTAAAGTTTTGAAAGCCAAACCTGCACTTTTTTCAAGAACGATTCAATAAAAAATCAAAAATAAACTATCAAAAGCTGGACTATGAATTTCTACGAAAAATTTTAATCTCTTCTTCTCAAAAAAAGCTCTTCAGAAACTTTACTGGCCAATTTTCAGGAAATTCCCCAGCCTCGAAGTCATTTTCTGACATAATTGAATTTAGAAAACATTCAACCCTTGACAAATTATGCTCCTTTGCGCGTCGCGATCTTTCCTTTAAATATTCAAGGTGAGACATTCGTTTTCCAATAAGTTCAGATCGTGAATATTTCCTCTCTTGGAAAGGAACACGAAGTTCGGGTTAACACACCCTACGTGTTCCGCAGGACAAAGATTAAGGACGTCAAAAAAATAATTTGAAGGGGATTTTTCTTGTTTTTGAATTAAACCTTTCCTTTTAAAATTTTTTCATTAAGCAAACAGGAAAATTAAAAAATTTTGATTTCAACTCCTTCCTGGAAACTTTTTCAAATTCTTCTCTTGAAACTTTGGTTCTTAATGGTATGATATTCGACGCGTAACGGTTTGCAAGCGTTTCAAAACTCTCCAAGTCTAACAAAACTTCATCAAAAAACAAGCTAAACCTCTCATTAAATTCAGAAAAAAGTGAATCTCTGGATTTGAGAATGCCCAAACTCTGATAGGAAAAAAAAAATGATAATATGATACTTTCAAGCATTTAGACAAAAAAATTAATTTCTCCAAATAAAGCCTTCTAAAATTAGGGAATTATATATATGGTTCCAAAACTTTTCAATAGAAGGAAGAAAAAGTGTAATCTGTAACTTGAAATACATTCAAATTTTGTAAGATTCAGATTAAAAAAAAAATTGAACCCGAGCAGAATTATCGTCCTGGACACGTCTGAGTTTGTCCCGGTAGTAGTTGCTGCGTCGCGCATTTCGTGCTTCGAACACTTCCTTGAGTGAGCTATCACGTCTCTAAAAATAGAACAGAAGTGTTTGAAACAAGAAAAGAACACGCCATATAAATGTATGCCTACTAAGTTTGAAAAAAAAATAAGACTCTGAAAAATATTGAAGAAAAAATAACTTTTAGGTATTGATCAGGTCGAGAAGTTCCGCCTAATTGCCTGCCTTCCTGTTCAGTCTGAAAAATTTTGAAAAAATATCCAATTTTCGGTAGTCACTCCATTGAAAAAAAAAACCAACAGAAATAATTTCTCCAATAGTCTTTTTCCATTCTTCCGTACTTATTACCCGTCCATTTGAGCGATTGTTATTCTCCGGCTGAGGGTTCTTCTGAACAGCGCAAGATTCGTCCAATAGTGAAGAAAAAGATCAAAATGACAATTAATTAAAATCAAAAAAAGTCAAATATATATTTCAGCTTATCGAACTTCTCTTCAGCATATAAAAAATAAGTCGAAACTGGGAAGAGATGTCAAAAAGAAAGAGATTGTTCCTTGAACCTCAAATCAAAGAGGAAAAGTTTTCGGTATTCAATTTTTTTCAAACTCTTTCTGATAAGCTCACCCAAACATTACTTTGCGCTGTGATTCTATTTTAATTTCCTAATTTCTTAACATAAAATCACCGATGGAAACGTTTGAAAAGCGGTGTTGAGGTTAGGGCTTCCAAATCCATTTCCATTAGTAAATCGTGGAACAACACCTTCTCTGTTCGGCTGGAAATCAAGAAAATAATGTCCGTTTATTGTGCAGAGATCTTACAGAGTTAGTGGTATCAAGTTGTAACGGCCGGACGGCTTGAACGGGTTGAGTAGCTGAAACTTCTGGAAAACGAGCCCATTAAATGTACTTCACAACTGGAAACAATCCGATTTCTGTTCGCTCTCGTTCACGGGCTATTTTCCTTTTTTTATGACCTTGAAAACCAGGGAAAAAAGAGCGCAGACGGTCAGATTTCACGAACATTCACCAGGACTTGAAATCTTATGGTCGCATGTAGAATATCTCAACTAGTTTCAATTCAAGGTTATGCAGTCAGCGCGCGCAAACCGTTTTCGAGTCGGGTACATAGTACCCGTTTTGCAGCCTTAGTACTTCGAGCCATTCCTCATGCTACCATCCTTTTTTTCAAGTTGAAACATTTAAAAAAATAAATTTTACGTGGTTGAGAGAAGCCACTATTTGACGAAGTTGCAAATCTCGTGGGCCCACCTTGAAACTTTCCTTTTCATTAAAACTCAACAATTTTTCAAACCGTTCAAATGTTCGGTAGAAGAAGCTTCAAAGTCGCACTGAAAGATGGGAAAATATGCTATTAAAAAGGTAAAAAAAATTTCGAATTTTCAAATCGATAGAAAAAGTCGGAAATGAAACCTTAGAATAGAAATGCCTTTGGTTCTGCAGAGCATTCAAGTCATTATTTCGATTTTGTTGTTTGAAATGACTGATGGAATCGTTGTACTCATCGTGAGTGACGGCGGAGAAAATCGTGTCGTTGGTGATGTCCTCAAATTCACGAAATCCATTTACTTATTTCAAAAAAAAGGTGAAAAAAACAAAAAAGTAATTGGATAAAATTTGGATGAAACTTTGAAAATCTACATGAAATTTAGATGAAAACCAGAAAAATCATGAGTTAAGTGCCAACGACCTGACAACTATAAAAAGACAGTCAAAGGAGCAGGAAAGAGCCTGAAAGCGAATTGAAATGTTATCAAGTGCCCTGCGCCTTAAAAATACCATATCCAGATATTGTAACCGCAAAATATCGTCATTACTAATTTTTTTTTTCTTCATAAAATCCCCCCGAGGAATAACTTCTTTTCGCAAAAAAAAAAACATGAACTACTAAACAAAATAAAAACCTACACGACTACGTTTGCTGATCTTATCGAGACTGTCGATGCCAGGCAGCTGCAAATTATCATTTTTCCAACCTATGCCTTTTTTCCAGACAAACTTTCATTCCTCCGAATCCCACGGCCGACGGTTTCGCCCCGGCATTCAGATAGAATCCGTCGAATCCTCTTCTGTTCTGGAAAGGGAGAAACTCTCTTTTTCGTTCAAAAATCACGCCTATCAAAAATTAAATCTGCTGCTATTCTTTTTATTAAAACTTTCCGATATAGTTATTTATTTTTTTTTTCTTTCAAGAACACCAGTAAATCTGACTTTACTTGTCAGCTTCTTGAGTTGATCTTCGTCAGTAATGACCTTCTCGATGTGCGCATTTTCCTGGGCCCAAATTTTCAGATCTTCGATCTGAAAACCTTTTATTTTTATTTTTTATTTTTTTGAATTGACTTAACCTCGGAGCGGAAAGTTTCAGAACAATTGAAAAAGCGGGACTCCATCTCCACGGATTTTTTTACCACCTTGAAAAATGTAAATAATTTTTTTTTTAGAAATACTCGCTGAGTTTTTGCCTCGTGGGATCGTGGGCTAATTTTTTTTTTCACAAATATCAAGAAGAGAAGTCGTTTTCAGAGCTTTCAAAAACACAGCATATTTGAGAAAGTTATGAGAATTGAAAGAAAAAACCTCCCAAAGAGCGTCGCGCTCCAAAGGCCAGCCAAGTGGTCCCATTCCCTGGAAAATCCAACTTTCAAAAACTTCAGACTTTCCTTTTTTTTTTTGCAATTTTCGACACATGAGAAAGTAGTACAAAAAGGCCTATCTACGCTCTCTATTAACTAGACATTATCTCTTTTTTTTCATCGTGTCAAAACCCATTTTTCGATGGCTCAAGTGTGCCGTCAGCTATAGCACGGATTCATAAAAATATAACTTCGTGGGGACAAAAGTTGATGGGAGACGTCGCCAGTTCAACGACAGCCGTGTACACGTGATTTTCAATAAGTCTGTTTCCTTTGTTTCCTTCATCGTAGGTGATCTGAATAAAATTATTACTAGATCGAATTTTCAGAAACTTACAAATCCAGGTCCCAGAGGAAAAATATGGACTTTGTAGTAAATTTTTCTGTCGACCAAACGTGAAATACTGGTGATGAACCGTGGCATGAGCATGATATGGACTTCGATCTAGCAAATATTCCATAAAATCGCTTTTAATTTTCTTTGAGGAAGCTTTTTTACAGTGTTCATGAAATTCTCAAACACTGTCCTGCTTTTTAGTGAGTCAGAAATTTACATATTTAGCTCTTATAGCCGATTCAATGTCTTGAGGCGCAGAAGGCTTTCCTTACTATGCCCTCCCCCAATCAGGCACTAATCAGCTATAACTATTTCAATGATAATCTCATAAATCACAATCGTGAAAACAAACTTGTAATACTCCAAACCGAGAGAAGTACGTGGGACGAGGATTCGTTACTCTTTGACACTGAAAAAAAAAACAAAATCAAAAAAAAAACAGACAATCAAACTTGAAGGACTTCTTTTTCGTCGCCATCGACTTTGTTCTCAGCGACGAATGTCACCCAGTCGCCGACTTCGAACTCGAACCATTCCTTCGAACAAACGATCACACCAGCTTAAAAAATCTTGTTTAATAAAATGAAACCGACCTTTTATTTCGAATGTACTGAATTCAACTTTTTAATTTCTGTATTTCAAGCTGGAAGTAATACTTCTGAATGAAAAAAGCTCAATGAATGTAGTTAACTACGCTGTAAACCTCGAAAACTGCTTAAGAATTATGTGACGAAAATTATGGGAGCTTCAATTTCAAAAAACAGATTGGACTCATTTTTGTGCTGGAGGTTGAGCTGGATCTTGAGATCACGAGTAATAAACTTTCTTTAAAAAAGGAAATAATTTTAGTACAAATAAAATTTTCCAGAAAGCTCTTCTATCAAGCGGGCCTCTATTCATTTCAAAGAACATTTTTTATCGAACTAGAGAGCTGGCCAAGCCATTCAGAGCTGGCCAAGCCATTCACTGTGAGATGATTTCATGAAAAGTTTTCAGAAAAGAGCGCGCAATAAAAAATTTTAATGATTTTTTTCTTTTAAATTTTTCTATTGGCTACTTACATTCCCGTCTCACGTCCCTCGAAAACAACTTCATGACTCGGGTTTTCATCGAGTGAAGGTTGTCTTCACCCGTTTTCTCAATGATGATTCCGAGCCTCATTTCTTGCGGACCTCGACATCGTGGCGGGGGGAACCGCCATGGGCCCAATACCTTATCCACCAGAGTTGGCATTCGAACAAGCCGCCTGATAAGCTCAGTCGATGATTGGATAAAACTAGGCAAACAAAGCGGGAAAAAATCAGAACAAGAGGCCCACAATTTGATTATAGTCTGTTCAGACTTTGAATGTCAAGCAGCTAACTCCACCCCCAAGGCTACAATGTCTTTCGCGTCAATGTTTTATCTACATATGCCAATGGCCCTTTAATAAGGCTGCTTTTTTGACCTCTTTTTCTATCTTTTAGATCGAAAAAGATCAAAATTAGCCCCGCGCGATGAAACATCGACGCGAAAAGGTACCGTCTCAGCAGGGGCGGAGTAAGCTGGTTGACATACAAAATCTGAACAGACTATACACTTGAAACGAAACTCAGAAATGCTGCAAATTGATAAGTCCTTTCAATAATGAACTATGCCTGTTTAAGGCAGCCGGTCAAAGTACGGTAGTTTAGAAAGATTTTCGGTTATCAAATGGAAGACTGTTTTTTTGAAACGTAATTTCTTGTTTCCTCCAGAGAAAGATTATGAGAAAACGCAAAAAAAAAGAAATCAATTCAAAAAAATTTCCTGGCTCCGAAAGAAATCGACCAATATTGACCAGCCGCCGGTCTGTCTTAAACATGCGTGCATTACAAAGGAGAAATGGTTCGCCTCAAAATTAAATTGAAATGTGGACAAAATAAGAACGTGAAAAAATCACGTTTGCGCAAAAAAAAAACTGTCAATATTTAATTTTTACACTACTGGAACGAAAATTCGTATAGGTCATTCCGCGCTAGCTTGTCACGTTTTTCTTTCCGCCAAAAGGTCAGGTCAAATTTAACCAACTTTCGCTTCAAGGCCTTTGTTTCTTGCCGTTATAGCAGAAATTTGATCTAATTTGGTATACGGTCTTTTTGGGGGAAAGAAAAACGTGACAAGCTGGCGCGGAATAGGCTATGTGAAATTCAAAACGGCTAATCTAATTTCGAATCACAAAAACTAGAGATTTCTAAAAGTTCGAAAACTAGATTGCCTCAATTTTAAGAAAGACCGAATTTTTATCAATAAAAATGTTCTCGGAAACTGATGGCGTGTTCATCCGACAGAACGAAACTTGTTCCAAAACGCAAAAAAAATTGCTCCAGAACAAAAATTAGTATTTTTTGGATTAATATTATTGCGTCGATGACTAGTTTCTTCGTTTTGAAACATGTTCTGTTTTTCCAATAAACATGCCATAAAAGAAATAAAGGTTTTATCAATGAAAATCAAATAAATAGAAACAGTCTGAGGCAAATCATCAACGAATCGACTCCGAAAAACAAGAAATGCACCTTAAAAGCGTCTATCTATGTTTGAATTGCAAGGGCGCAGATTTTGTTCTGATTTTTTGTTTTGTTTTGTGGCGTGTTCATCGGAGAAACGGAACATGCTTCAAAACGAAAAATCAAGTAACGATTTCCGCTTCTTAATGCCGTGTTCAAAGTAATTTCCGCGAAATGCAAAATGGTCTCTGACCCTCCAAAATTAAGTTATCTTTCTCTTTCTCTGACGGCTATTTTGAATTTCGCGAAATCACTTTGAACACGGCATAAGAATTCTTATGGCGTGTTCATCGGAGAAACGGAACATGCTGCAAAACGAAAAATCGTGTTCATCGGCGCGCCAAAGTTGCTCCAAAACAGTACTAATTTTTGTTTTGGAGCAATTTTCTTGCGTTTCGAAGCAATTTTCGTTCTGTCCGATGAACACGCCATTAATAAAATAATTTTTGAATTTTTTCGATTTCTTTCCTTCATCTACCCGAAATCATGTTTCATTTTCTGTTTTAATTCTAAAATTTTCGGGCTTATAATTTGAGATATCAATTTTTTTCACTCAACAATCCATGTTGATTTTGCTCGGCATATCACATTGTGAGCTCATCTCATGAGATAACTTAGAAATATTTTATGTAAACTTCGACTTCTTTTTGACTTTTAAAAAAGGAATGAACTTTTTATGTTCACTATTTCCGTATAGAATATACGAACAGTAAGCTTCTGCAGTTTTTTTTTACGTGTTGCTAGCGAAAAAAACTCCGAATTTCCCTTATTTATTTCAAGTCTCTTTTTTATTTCGTCAATAAACCATCGCTAAGTTGTCTGAAATACTATAGACAAGTTGAAACTTTAATAATGCTCCTAAAAATAAAAATTGTATCCTTTTTAATAACTGGCGCACTATTTTTTTCTTCAGAGGTGTCTTCTTCAAATTTATGGGAAGGGATCTTTACTTTTAATATACCTCAAATTAACCATATTCTATCAAAACTATCTCTTTAACCGGATTACGTGTAAGCGTGAAGTGCTCGCAGACTTGTGCATTTTTGCGTGGCTACGGTATTTGCAAAGTGCCAACGTTGCTACGCGTCAATCCTTATTTCTCAACCCTACTTCCAACGCTTTTTTGTTGTCTGGACGCTTAAGAACCCCTTTAAAAAGGGGTAGATAGTATGATAGGCTCGTTCTACTTTGCTTTAGTAATTTTTTTTTAGTTTCTCATCTTCCAACTATCGATCGTTTTCCCGAAAAGCGCTGTATTTTTTTTCCAATTTCTTTAAGGTTTGTTTTTTAGCTTGGCGCCATGTCGCTGCTCATCAAGTTCGAGTCAAAATCGGCACGAGTGAAGGGTAACTGATGGATTGTTTTAAAAAAATATATTTTCGATCAAAATAGGTATTTCTTTCCACCCGACGCGACCATGGGTGCTGACTTCCTTGCACAGCGGCGTCACCCAGCTTTGGGACTATCGAATGTGTGTTTTGATCGAGAAGTACGATGAGCACGACGGTCCAGTTCGTGGAATCTGTTTCCACCAGGATCAGCCGATTTTCGTTTCCGGAGGCGATGACTATAAGATCAAGGTTTTTTGTAAACGAATTTAATTGTCATTTATTTTCTTTTCATCATATTGAAAAAATTCCGTTTCTTGTCGCTTAAGAGCGGATGAAATTTCCCTGAAATAGAGAAAAAAAAAAGCTGTCTTAGATCTTTAAAATGATTTTCATTGATAGTTTGACAACGGACACAATAACTTTCGTTTAAGAAAATATGTTTTATTCAACTCTCCAAAATTAATTTCTCAAGCTCGCTTTTTTCTTAGGTTTGGAACTACAAACAACGACGTTGCATTTTCACGCTGCTCGGTCACTTGGATTACATCAGAACCACCTTTTTCCATAATAAGTAATCGAATAGGAGTTTTTAGTTCTGTAAGTTCCACTTTCAGGTATCCCTGGATCATTTCCGCTTCCGATGACCAAACCGTCCGCATTTGGAATTGGCAATCGCGCAATTCCATCGCTATTTTGACGGGTTTAAATCGAAAAAAGTGATTTTGAGATTAAAGTGTTGAAATTCAGGCCATAATCATTACGTTATGTGCGCTCAGTTCCATCCAACTGAGGATTTGGTCGCTTCGGCCTCTTTGGACCAAACTGTCCGCATTTGGGACATTTCCGGCCTCAGTAAGAGATATTTCATCATGAATAAAATTTTTTGAGGATTTTATCGGAATACTGAATTTTTGGTAAATATGTTAATCGAAAAAAACGCCTCAGAAAAATTCCAACGTTTTTCTGTTTTTTTTGTCTTGTTTTCTTACTTTCGAAAATTCAAGTTTGAAAGGTAGAGAAGTTTAACTAGCTTTTTGAAAAATGCTCACAATATAAGTATTATATTTCTAATTTGACTTCAGTTATTTTTTGAGATAGTTTTCGGTGGGCCTTGTTATATGAAAATGGTGACTTTCCCTCATCGAGTTGAGTATATTCTTTTTTTTTAGGAAAACGACAGATGCCTGGAGGTGGCGCCGGAATGAGAACGACTTCCGGACAACAGGCCGAGTTGTTCGGACAGCCTGACGCGGTTGTGAAGCACGTTTTGGAGGGCCATGACCGAGGTTCGTGCTTGGAGTACAGGAAATTTCAAAGAAAAAAAAAAGTTAGAAATTTGATGTTGCTCTTAGAAAAATTTAAATTTACATCGTTGAAAATGAATGAATAGCGGGAATTGTACAGCGAAAAATTCATGAAATTGCTTTTTTGGATTTTTTTCAAAAATTTCAGGAGTGAACTGGGTGGCGTTCCATCACACGATGCCGATCCTCGTTTCTGGTTCAGATGATCGTCAGGTCAAAATGTGGCGTTACAATGAATCCAAGGCTTGGGAGGTTGGGTTTTATTCTAAAAAAAGATCTTTCTCTTGAAATAAATTTGTATTGCTCAGGATAATTGAATAATTTGTTTTTTTATCCTATTATCAACCTTAAGAAACTCGGAATTAGCTCAATTTTCAAAAGTTTCCAGCTTTCCTCGTAAAATTATTTATTTTTTCATGATTCAAAACGAATTTCTGTGTTATTTCGATGTTTTTTAAAGGTCGACAGTTGCCGTGGTCACTACAACAACGTTTCCTCCGTCCTTTTCCACCCCAACGCTGAACTGATTCTGTCAAACTCGGAAGACAAATCGATCCGAGTTTGGGACCTCCAAAAACGCACCAGCCTTCATGTCTTCAGGTTCGCACAAGATGAGAAAAAAAATTATAATATTTCTTGTTTTTCAAAAAGGATGATTTTAGAGAGTTGTTCCAAAACCTAGAAAAATAATTTTTTCCTTTTTTGAAAGTTTTTACGAGTGTTCCATGATATCTTGGGTTTTTTTTCAGATCAAATTATATGAAAGTTGGGAAGATGAAAAGAGTATTTAAATTTAGGAAGAGGAATTAAAAATTTCACCTTGGCTTTTTTTTGAGCATTGTATTTATAACTGCAGCAAATTTTAATCCTAGTCAGAAAAAGGTAATTCCGGCCAAGTTATGATGAAACTTGAGGAGGAATGTGTTAGACATTTTCGAAAATCTTTGAAATAAAACGGTTTCAAGGTTCAATTTTTCGAGCATTTAGTGCTCTACGGTCGTCTCAATGATTCGAATCTCTGCAGACACGAAAACGAAAGATTCTGGGTGATGGCCGCCCATCCGAGCTTGAACATGTTCGCCGCGGGACACGACAACGGAATGATCGTCTTCAAGATCCAAAGAGAGCGACCCGCCTTCTGTGTAAACGACAACTTGGCCTTCTACGTCAAAGACAAGCAGCTCCGTCGTCTTGATCTCACGACCAAGTTAGATTCCACCATAATATTGAACGAAACTGTGATTTTTTCCAGCAAAGACGTGGCCATCTGCAAGCTCCGCGCCGCCGCTGCCTTCATGCAGCCGTACTATTCTCTGTCGTTCAATCCCGCCGAAAATGCCTTCCTCTTGACCAGCCGTTCTCATAATAGAGAATTGTGCACTTTTGATCTGTACAAGGTGCGATCATCGTACAAACCGAGGAGGAAACTTTTTCTTGAATCAGAAAAATGAATTTTTGAGATTTTCTCTCGATTTTCAAACGTAAGAAACCTGGAATTCTTAGAATCAGGACCAATTTTTGCACTAGAAGCCCTCAGGAATCTGTTTAAAATTTCATATAAAACTACCTTTTATTTCATTTCCAGGCCTTTTCGAGCGATATCATGTGGATTTTTGAGACCAGCTTAAAATGGTGCATAGGTTGTTGTGAAAACATAAATTATTAAAAAAGATTTTTTTTTTGAGGATTTTCAGTTGATTCACTATTTTGAGGTTTACTATACAGTTTGTTTTCAGTTGCCGAAAGAAAGCGACGGAAACACGGACGCCCAGGCCAACAGAAGCTCCGGAATCGCTGCCCTGTGGCTGGCTCGCAATCGTTTCGCTGTCCTTGACAAAACCCACAGTGTTGGTAACGTCGTTCAGTGCTAGCCTGAGACAAAAAGGATATAAAAGACTTCTTAATCTTCTATTTTTACACAGCTCCGTTAATATCGTCCCAAGCAAGCTTAGAATGATCAATATGTGAGATGAACTCAATTCACTCGAATTTTTCAGGTCTCTCTTCGCGACCTCGCCAACAAGGAGCTCCGAAAACTCGAGAACATCAACACCAACGTGGACGACATCTTCTACGCCGGCACCGGAATGGTCCTTCTGAGGAACGAGGAAGGCCTTCAGCTGTTCGACGTCCAGCAGAAGATCGTCACTGCCAGCGTCAAGGCCAGCAAGGTCCGCTACGTCATCTGGAGCAAGTCGATGGACTACGCGGCGCTGATCTCCAAGCACACCTTGACCTTGATAAACAGAAAACTCGAGATCCTCTGCACGCAGCAGGAGTCGACGCGTGTCAAGAGTGGCGCCTGGGATGACGATTCCGTCTTCTTGTACACCACCAGCAACCACATCAAGTAATATAAAGGGCTGGTTAAATGGGGAAAACAAAAAAATTCAAGAATTCGTGGTAACCTCTCCATCCATTGAAACTACTAGATTCGCTTCTTTAGAGGTCGTTTCAGTGGCTATTTAGTGTTTTCTCCAAGTTACCCTTGAGCAACTTCTCAAGTGGCCACTAGAGTTTTTCCCGTAAATTTCTGAATACTTGAATGGTTTCTTCAAAAAGTCTTCAGCAGATGTGAACTGCTTTTTGATAGTGTTTTTTTGTACACCAGCAATAATATCAAGTAAACATGAAGAACAGTATTTTTTTAATGACCTTCGGCTAATCTATTTGTCATTTTTTTTCATCATTGAAGAGCATTAGTTCGTTTAAAGAAAATTTTTGCTGGGTTTTCATTTAAACAAATTCATATGTTGGAGTTTCAGTGTTTTTATCGTAAAATGTATTCAATTTGCAGGTACGCCATCACTTCTGGCGACTGTGGAATCGTCCGCACTTTGGACCTTCCCCTCTACATTCTGGCGATTCGCGGGAACACGCTCTATTGTCTGAACCGTGAGGCTACACCTGTCGAAGTCCCGATCGACTCGTCAGACTACAAGTTCAAGCTGGCCTTGATCAACCGTCGTATCGACGAGGTCGATTCAAAATAATAATTTTCGTAAATACGAAAGTTTCCAGGTGGTGAACATGGTCAAGTCGGCGAACCTCGTCGGCCAATCCATCATCGGATATTTGGAGCAAAAGGGCTATCCAGAAATCGCCTTGCACTTTGTCAAGGATGAGAAGACCCGATTTGGGTTGGCCCTTGAGTGTGGAAACTTGGAAGTCGCTCTGGAGGCGGCCAAGGTACGAGGATTGAATAAAAATCTTTGAAAGAGGAAAAGTTCAGAAGATGAAATTTTCTAAGCTAATCTAAAAGAAAACCTTAAGACCGCTTTTTCAAAAGTTTGCTTCGCCAAACTTCCCTATATGACTTCTTAGAACTTTCCAAAATTCTCTTCATTATCTGGGTTTCCTTTCAGAAACTCGACGAACCGGCCGTTTGGGAGGCCCTTGGCGAGAGTGCTCTTCTTCAAGGAAATCACCAAATCGTCGAGATGAGCTACCAAAGAACGAAGAACTTTGAAAAGTATCGCCCTTCAACTCGAACTCATTTTACCCATGCATTTGAAGGCTCTCCTTCTTGTACTTCGTCACCGGAAACACGGATAAGCTGACCAAAATGCTGAGAATCGCCGCCGCGCGAAACGATTGGAATGGACAGTTCCAAACTTCTCTGCTCGTTGGTGACGCCGAGGAGCAGGTCAAAGGTGACTTTGAGCCGAAATACTTGGATCGAATTGCAAATTTAGTGCTCCGAAACTGCGGACAGCCGGCCTTGGCTTATTTGACCGCCGATTTGCACGGCTGCGAGCAGGCCGCTACTGAACTGAAAGCCGAACTCGAGGAGAAAGGCCTCGAAGTGCCGACTTCCGCCCCAAATGCGACGCCTTTTGTTCCGCCGCCGCCATTGACTCGGGTGAGTACTGAATTTTCGGAACTGCTTTTGTGAGGAAATTTGTAAAAAGTTGCTCCAAATCTGTCCGAATATATTTATCCGACTTTCGAATTTCAAGGGTTATATAATCAATTTCTCGTCTATATTCCAACGACATTTGAAAATTTTCGTTTTTTTTTTCTTTCGTACAATCTACCCACTTGTCTTTAGAAAATCTTAATTCTGAATTTTTTTTTCTTACGGAATTCATAACCCCGCCTACGAAATCTTCTGACAGTATATATTTTTCATTCGTATTGCTTCAGATGGAGGAGAACTGGCCTTTGCTGGCGTCGGCTCGTGGACAGTTTGACGCCCATCTTCTGGGCATTTCTTCGAATGTTGGTGGAGCTGGAACGACGAAAGCTGTGGCTGGAGCCAAGCCCGCGGCTGCCGCCTTTGCCGCTATCGAAGATGATGTTTCAAGCATTTTTCAGCAGGAAGATTTATCAAGAGCTTGTTTAGGACATTGATGGCGGTGACGCGTGGGGCGGCGATGACGAGTACCTCGATGAGGAAGGCCTGGAAATCGACGAAGTTGTCGGCGGCAGTGGAGGAGAGGAGGACGGCGGCTGGGACGTCGACGACGACCTCGCCATTCCTGACGTTCCCGATGAGGCGGCTGGAGAAGGTGCTCAGCTCAGTATTTAGAAAAAAGACAATTATGGAGTTGGGAAATAACTATTCCAGATAATTAAAAAGCAAGATGATCCAAAACCTGAAAAATCTACAGTTATCTCACTCGATGGGACCTGGATCAAAAAAAAAAAGTTCTTGGTTTTCATGACTTTCAACATATTTGTTAGAAGAAAAAGAGACTTGTTCACTCTTTGTTGTTCCAAGCCATCGAAAAACTATGCAATTAACGTGAAGTGCCATATTTTCAATATCAAGGCCTCAACTTGATTATTTTTTTTTTCAGAAGACGAAGAAGTCGTGCCGAACCCAGCGCCACCGGCTTCCGCGGAATGGGCAGCGGTTTCGCGACTCGTCGCCGATCACGTCGTCGCCGGATCCTTCGAAACGGCGCTGAAGATGCTCCGCGACCAGCTCGGCGTCATCGCGCCGGCTCCTTTCAAGGAGGTCTTCATGCGCGTCTATGCCAGCGGACGTTGTTCTCACCGCGGCTGGGGAGGCCTCTCTCCGGCTGGACCTGTCTTGATCCATCCGATCAGGAACTGGCAGGATGAGAAGTACTTTTTCGATTCAATTCAAGGCTCAATGATTCGCCTAGGAACCACTTGCCTGCCATCAGCGTCAAGCTCTCCCTGCTGGCAAAACGACTCCAGCAAGCTTATCAACTGACGACCGTCGGAAAGTTCGGCGACGCTGTCGTCAAGCTTCGAGACATCCTCCTGAGCGTTCCCCTGCTTGTGGTCTCCTCGAAACAAGAAGTCGCTGAAGCTGAACAGTTGATCGCCATCGCACGAGAATATCTTTCCGCATTGTTGCTCGAAGGAGCCAGAAAGGTACAGTCGTTTACTAGGAAATGGTGAGGTGGTAGACCTGGTCAACGTTTTCTTGATAAATGAGAAGAATTTTGCGGGTTAAACTCAAATATTGCAGTCGTACGGGTTTTTCGATAACTTTTGCCCTATTAATCATGACGTTTCATGACGATAGCAAAGCTGCCATCTAAAACGAAATCATAGTTAGATTGTAGCGGTTGAACAAGCGGAATTGCAGGAACTGCCAAAAGCGACGCCAGCGGATTTGAAGCGAAACGCCGAGCTGGCCGCCTACTTCACCCACTTCGAGCTGCAGCCCATGCACAGGATCCTGACCCTCAGGAGCGCCGTCAACACTTTTTTCAAGATGAAGCAGATGCGAACTTGCGCCTCGCTTTGCAAGCGACTGCTTGAGCTTGGTTTGAGAACATCGTAATCGAGAGAATAAATTATATTTATTGCAGCACCGAAGCCTGACGTCGCTGCTCAAATCAGGAAAGTTCTTGCTGCTGCGGAGAAGGACAACACTGATGCGCATCAGGTAATGACCACTCTAGGGTAGTTGAAAAATTTTTTGACAGAAAAAAACATTAAGAATGATTGTTTCTCCACGTTCAAAAAAAAATTCAAGCTTAAAAATTAAGTGACTACTCTAGAGCTTACGAGCTGCAGTGTTCCGTTGAGGGAAGAAATTAGCGGCCTCAAAAAATAAAAAATAAAAATAAAGTTGATTAGGCTACTTGAGGGGGCTATAAAGAGAGAATTTGTGATTCCGTGATTTGAAACATTTCTTTTTCCTTGTGTATTCAAGTATGATTGTTATATTTTTGCAGTTGGCCTACGATGAGCACAACCCCTTCGTGATCTGCTCGCGAAAGTTCGTCCCACTCTACCGCGGTCGACCGCAGTGCAAGTGTCCGTTCTGTGGAGCGTCGTACTCGGAAGGCCTCGAAGGAACCGTTTGCGACGTGTGTCAAGTCGCCGAAATCGGCCGCAACGTCCTCGGTCTCCGCATTTCAACTCTTCAGAAATAGTTCTCAAAAAACACATATTATAAAGCTCCCCGTTTGAACTGTGATTTCCGCCTTGTTCTGTTATTCTCTCACATAATTATGATTACCAACACAGATTTTCGCCTTAACATATTCATTTAACCTTTTTTGTGATCGAGTATTTATTTGAACCCCGTAGTGGTCTTGCATGAATTAACTCCGTTTGGTTAAGGGTGTCTTACGATGATTTCTGTTTGCCGTTTTAAATGTTTTTTTGTAGAGAAATTTTAATAAGGGATAATTCTTTTTTTCTCCGCCTATCTCAGCAATCTTCTCCAGCTTCTTGTTAATTTATTATTTATACGTACATAAAAAAAGTTTCGATGAATTCGAACAAAAAAACTATTGAACGTTAGTGCTGAGAAAAATTTTATTAGATAAGAAGCAAGGGGCGAGTTTTTCATAACTTGAACTTAAAGGCATCGTTGTTATCATGAGTCATTCAAAAATCTTTAGAAGTTTAGAGAATAATTTTTTTACAATAAAAAAAGAGTCCCAGGCGACTCGAAAGCCCTGGCAAGCGGTAAATGGAGTATATACACTTTTCAAAAAACTCCGCAACCATTTCAATTCTTTCCAAAATTAAGATCTAAACCTAACAAATCACCACTGGCCAAATGAAGAACATTTTCCTTGTAGGTCAAATTTTTGCTGGTTTTGGGGATTTGGAACTCAAGGACTTGGTCCGTGGCGCAGGTCGTCGGCAGGATCGGCTGTGAATGGAAGGAAAGGAGCTGGGGCAGGTCCTCGACCAGCTCTCCGATTCTGACTGGCGTGAGGACCTCGATGATCGGCTCGACGAGGACGCCAGTCGGCGGAATCACCGACGTCGTCTGAGCGGATGAGGCGTCTGACTCGACGTCTTCAATCAGTTGGACCAGGGACTCGGTCTTCAGAAGCGTCGACGTCGTCGGAATCGGTTTGAGACGACTTTTGCCGTTTTTTCGACCGCTGTCTTCTGCTTTGTCTTTTTGTGGCTGAGGAGCACGTTTCAACATAAGGAATCGCTGAAAAATTTCCAGCTTACAGAGGAAAATCCTACTTTGAAAATCTGAGATTGTGAGCCTCAATGATTGAGGTATTTGAGACACAGTGTTAAAATTTTTAAAAAAGCTGGTCTATAAAAATTAATTCTCCGCCAGTGAAATTGTTTGTGAAAAATCCTGAATACTTCGAGTGATTCTCAAAGATTTCTCAGAGATTCTCAAACAGAGATAAAAAGATTTTTCTTTTGAGTAACTCAAAAAAGCATCAAGTAAACATAAACCGCTACTAATTTTTTTTTTTCAAATCAAACTCAGAAGCCCTAAAGTTGTCTTCCTAATTTTGAAGCTTGAACTCACATTTCCCGTTGCAGTTTTAACGACTTTTGTTGGCGGATATTTCTCGAAAATTTCACGGCAGGTCGTTTTGTGGAACACCTCCGAGATGTTGTACAGATGCAGAGAGTTTGACTGGAAATATAAACTTCAAATAAACATGAACTTCTTGCTTGCAAAATATGGATATTTCGAAATTTTAAAATTAGGTCAGAGACGAATGAACTGATGCCGTGTCCAAAGTAATTTCCGCGAAATGTTATCTCTGGCTCTCCAAAATTTAGTTATTTCTTTCTTTCTCTGACGGCTACTTCGCAAAATGAACTTCTACTGGTTCAAACTTTGAAAAGAAAAATTCGCGATAAACTGAAATCTGGATGTTTAAAACAAAAACTGTACCCCATCAATGAATGGTAAAGTATCTACGGGTTCGATAACCCTTCCAGAAGTTGCTGCCATTCGAAATAACAAAGAATCGAGTTGATCCAACAAGAATTTCCGACGAGCCGACGTCGTCAAGTTTCGATGAGCACGGACCTGAAAATAGAATCTTGAAGACAAAAAGTATTTTCCTATTATTTATTTTTTGATAAGTCGAACTTCTCTCACTAGGGATTTCATACTTCGTAGAGTCTTTTTTTTTTTACTTTCTTCCGTTTGAAAGGTGAATTTAGGGAATTTGAAATCAAAAGTTCGTTATGAAGAACTTCAACTATGGGTTTGAAAAACCTGTAAGCAGCGAGAAAAAAAAGGTTCAATTGTGGGGAACTGAAGAAGAACCAGGAAAAAACTTACTATTCGATAATCCGGATCACTTGGCTTGGCGAAAATCTTCTTGCGAATCACTTGAGCCCGAACGTCCAGGTTCTCGTCTTGAAGGCGAAATTTTTACAAAACAAACGAAATGATATAGATACTTTTTTTCTATAAAAACTAACAAACGAAAAGTTCTGGAGCCTGTTTGTAGAAAATTTCATCGCCATAACTGACGAAATCAAGGGCAAGGGGTCGGAATTTGACGTCGATCGTTCGGTTTTGGATAACGAAGTGGAAATCGCTGCAAATTCAATTTTTTAATTTTTTTTTTCCCAAAAGTCAGTCTGAAAATCTTCACAACAATCAAATATCAATATAATTGTATGAATGAATTTAACATTGAAAACGGCATTTTCGCCGCTCGTGCTTTTTTCGGAGAACTTCAAAAAGTCAACCTGTAAGAAGCCTGATGTAAAATATCCTTGAATTTATCGCCACTCAAAATACATCCACCATGTCGATGAGCGTAGGAGGCCACGTAAAGGTCATCGTAGTTAATAAAAGCTCTGAGATTCTTCAATTTTACTCTTACAAAACTTTTTTCTTACTTGCGCAATCCTCTGCCAGTTCTCGCCGGTGTGAAAGTTACCAAACCGAGCCTTTCCATTTTCTAAAATGTTAAACGATTCATGATTTTCACTTTGAGTCCTTTACCTGAAGCAGTTCGGCGTTCGTGGCGTTGTAGTTGTTGACATTGTTATAAACGACTGGCAAAAAGACGGTGACCTTAAAAAAGATTTTCAAATTTGAAGTTTCGGAAATATTTTCGAAAAATATCCAAAGCCTTACATCAAACTCTTTTGCTAAAAGCCATCTGACAACGGACACGAGCCCTGCACAGTCAACGCTCCTAAACTCAAATATCAATTCAAATACCTTAAAAATTAACAAACTCTCTGGCCGATCCGCTGGCGCTCCTGCCAATGTTGCATCCGTCGATGACCAGTGGCCGTGGCACACAGTTCCTTTTCGGACGCACAAAAACACGCTTCTTCGCAAACTTGAGAATATATATTTAAATATAAATATTTACGTTAAAAAAATAAATTCGAAATAAATGAAGAATTTCGGAAATTTGCGAGTGCGTGCTCCAATGCGAAAAACAGAAAAATTTTATAATTTTTTTCAAAAAAATTTTTTTATTTTCAACTTTTTTTCAAGGGTTTTAAAAAAATTGGATTTATTACTTTGTTCTAAATAGAGAGAAAAAAATATAATTAGTTTTTTTATCAAGTCTAAAAATGAGAAATTTTCAATGCATGCAGTTTTTCAGAACATATGGAAAACAAATTTTTTGCCTTTTTTTTCATTTTGACTGTAAGTTCATGAATTGTACGCGAATAATTTGACTCATTTCTTTTTTAGAAGATGAAATAGGTATTATATTCAGAAATGTACCCTTTATCGCTCCTACCTGCTGGACGATTGATCGACATGAACGAATTCAGCGAAAATTTCGGAGAATGGGATGGAACTGTGCGAGACTTTTCGATGTTTAAACGTGAGTATATATTCTTTTTTCTTTTCATTCTTTATTTTTCTTGCTCATCAAATTATTTCCTTCAACACCTGGAATCTATGAGACTTGTAGAAAAAAAAAACTTTATTCACATACATAAAAATCAAAAAAAAAACTAGGGAGAACATTTTGATGAGGAAAAAAACTATATTTGTGAAATTTAAGAGCATCTAACGAAAAAAAAAGACACATAACTTAACAATGAATGAGCAAAGGATATCACGGACTTCAACTATAATATACAGACAGCAAAAATAAACTTTGAGGAAAAAAAATGAAATTAAAGGGAAAAGTCGGTTGACCAGAAATTTGTACTGTCAAGGTACGAATTCGGGAAAACGGGGTCTGTACATTGGAATGCTATGTATGTATGAGGGTTTCGTTTAGAAGTAGCTCGACGAGTTCATCATCTTGACTATTTCCAAACAAGGGTACAACATAAACGACAAAAATGGTGAACCCGTAAAAGTTCACGGCAAAAAAAAATGACGAAAAATAGTTTCACCGAGTCCTGGCACACAAATCAACGAATATAGGGTGTAGAAAGGCCTAAGGTGGGCAGTAAGGATGACGTCATGTTTGGTGAAAGCCGGTATGACGTCATAATTAAGGTGAAAGTGTCGGGAGGTTTTTTTTTAAGTTGATGAAGGAGAGAGATTTTTTAAAAGAAGCATGAGATGGTTTAATAATGGTATTAATTTGAGGAACTTTTTCAGTGATACGGCAAAGGTTCTTATACTTTTGAGGTTGGAAAATGGACCTAGAAATGACTACGAGAAAAGTCGATAGGAAAACTAGCAGCCGGTTCCGCAGCAGCCACCACCGCCGCCGATTCCGAGCAAAGACGGCGAGACGGTGATGTCCGTGGCGATGTACAGACCGTGCTCGATGATCCGCACCGCAGGATTGATGATTTGGACGGGGATCGGCAGGTTCTGCGGAAGGTTGAACGAGATGCCCTTCTGTAGGGCATCGTTGGCCACCTTCAAAAAGTTGAATCCACTTTTAAGATTATGAAGTATATTTAAGAAATTGTAAAAGATTTTTCCTAGAACTTTGAGGCTTTTTAACTGAGAAAACAAAAGTATAAGATGTAAATCTCTATTTTTTTCGGGTTTCGAAATTTTTTTACAGGGATTCAATCAAAGATGTCTGAAACTTGTTTTTAGAAAAATTATTTTCTTGCGACAGCTTACTTTCCTCCGGAATTTCCATAAAAAAAAAATATTTTCACATTGATGGTGGAATTGAAAGAAATTTTTCGCTACGTTCGGAGATGTATTGTAGCAGTTTGCGCCACCTTTTTTTTTTGACTTACGCGAGTTTCCATAGCTTTTTGCTACTAATATCTACTTACCTTCTGTAAGAGCTCTTTTCCGAGGTTGCCCAAGTTGTCCAAAGCGTCTTGTGGAAGACCAAGGGACTGAGTTCTGTCAGAAAGCTGAAGTTGGGTGATTTCGGCACTGCCAGTTAGTCGATTCCCGTTGATCTGCACGACGACTTGGACGGTGGCGGCGATCGTGATAGTTCCAACCTAAAAAGACCATACTTATTCCTGTCAAAACCTAATGCCGATTTTCTTTCTCACTCGGTTATTGGTTCCGTCAATAAAGATGTCGGCGTCCACAATAAGATCAAGAATGGCCATTCCTCCTCGAGCCGCGCTCAGAAGGACGGATGGCGCTCGGGTCGTGTGGAGTTGGATGGCGATCTTCTGGTTGGGGTACTTCTCTCGGATAGCTGGTAAAATGTCTCCGAAGCAGATTCCGAGGTCAGCGAGGCCTGAAGTTGGACATTTTGAAAAATAGAGCCTCTTAAAAAGATTAAAAGAAATGATAAATAATGCTTAACGCCATCCCATAAATCTTCTCGTCGCTATTTCATAAAATGAGCAAATAATATTGTATCTTGTAAAGGCAATGTTAACCTTAAAAATTTTATTGACTGTAAACGGGTATCAAAAAGTTGCATTGTCTTCCTTCTCAAAAAGTTGCAATGTCTCCCACCTGCAGTGTCTTCCTGACGTCTTCTACGAGAGTCACGCTTCTTCTTGGAAGTGATGGTGTCGTTAGACCTGTCGATGATAATGGTCGGAGCAGCGGACATGGCGTGTCTTGGTCTAGGCGGAACGACGACGGCGCGCTTAGTACGAGACTTGGCTGAAAGGTTGGCAAGTCGACGACGTCGTCGCGCTTCTTCTTCGTCGAGCTTAAGAAGTTTAGCTGGTTGAGTACAGAAGAGATTGCAAACTTCGACGTCGGTGGCTTCCAAGTCGTCGCTATCGTCAGAGCACGTTGTCTTGAGTAGCTCGCCGATCTTAGGCGTGTCTGGCCCAATGCGGAACGACAGGAATTGCTTCCTGATTTTTTCGAATAGCTTATCCATTCACTGCTTATGAAGCTTTTAGAGCTCACTTTACCTCATAATCTCATAAGCTCAGAACATTTTCCGGAAACTTGACAACATAAAGAATAAATAACATCTAGTTATCTTAATTGAAAGATCCTCTAAGTTTTAACCGAACCTATGGAGCTGATAGAACAATGAGTTGACAGTGTAGTCGGTGACGATAAACTCGAGCATGTGATTGTCGTAGGCGCCAGGGAATTGAACTGGGAATGGTCCGAACGGAGTTCCTGAATATCTTAATCTTTCCGTATCGTCAAAAACACCCACCTCCTTGAGCGTTAGGGCTGAACTCGCCGCTGAGGTCGATGGTGAAGTCGTTGCTGGTCGCATAAGTGTTCAAGAGCTGCACGGAGAGATACAGATCGTTGAGTTTCGACTGAATTTCCGTATTATGATTGTTTCTTTTATTTTCAACCATGTCAAGATGAGCGGCGATTTGTCGGAGGAAGGAAGCTGGATCTTCCTGAGATGATGGGCATTTGTTACATAGTTCGACAGGTTGAGGCTGTTGAGCATGAGGTGGGGGTCCTGCGGAGATCTGAAGGAGAATAGTTTTTCTCAGGTGTATTTAGAATTCAAACCGGTGGCGGTGGTGGGTAGCGGGGTCCAGCTCCCGCCTGGAAGCTGGGTGGTCCACCAGAAACGCCTCCGACGACTCCGTATGGTCCTTGACCGTACTGTGGGACTCCGTGAACGGCAGGACTACAAATATAGCTTTTAAAGTCGAAACCTAATATTCCTTACCGTGTAGCGTTGGTAAGGTACAAGCGTTGAGCAACTGCGGCTCTCTTGGCTCGAGCTGTTGGGACATACAACTGAAAGAAATTGATTTTATAAGCATGGTCTTTTTGCAGGTAAATTTACCGAAATACTCTGAAAATGTTTAGAAGTATTCCTCAAAGTCGATACTTGCGCGAAAATCTAGTTTTTTAGATTCAAATATTCAAAGATACGAATGATTCGTTACAATAAATCATATCTTCAAAAACGAGAGCTCATAAAGATAAAGGCTGAAGGAAACTTTGTTTTGATCTTCGAATATTTTTTTACGGCAAATTTAATTAACTTTAAACCGCCTTTGAAAAAAAGAAAAAAATGAAAAAAAGTTTTTAGTAAAAATAATAAGTTAAGGTTATTTTGAAGTCCGAATTGTAAACTTCTCATTAACTTACGGTATGGTGTGGGAACGCTGCAGGATGGTGCTGAATAGCCCGGTATTGACGAAGATGAGGTTGGACGATTGGAGTAAGACCGCGAGGAACGACTTCCTAAATACTTTTTTTCATTTCAAAAAGAGTTCTATTGAGTTTTACCTGCTTGTGGAAGTCCGTAGCAAGTCCTCGAGCTCGAACCACGTATTTCTTGCCTTGAATGTAGGCTCCAGTTGGAATTTGTGGAGCTGGCGCAGCACCGCCGACGATCGTCGGTTGAGCGTGGTTGGTGAAAACCGGAGCCGGCGACAAGGACGGAAGAACGTTGGGAGTTGGAGCCGATGGCTGGCTTCCAGCTCCGCAGGAGGAAGAACACTGAAACTTATTAAAATGAAAAAGACTACTTTTTGGAAAAAACTTACACCGCCGCCTCCGAGGCCGAGGGCGCCACCGAAGAGCGAGAGCATCTGAGTGACGGCGATCGATTGTGGAAGAGCGGAGAGCTTCGAGTTGATCTAAAATCAATTTTTCGATTCCTGAGAAAAATCCGGACTGTTATTGAGCAATTGGTTCAAGCTAAAAGAACAGATTTTTACGTTGAAAAGTACCTTCTGAAACTATCTGTTTTCATCATTCTTTCTAAGGCAAATAAACTCCAACGAGACCGCCCATTTCTGGCAGACCATCCTCATATGATACAAACCTTCTCGTTGATGATGCTAGGCAATTGTCCGCAAACTTGGCCAGGAACCATTTGTCGGATTTGGTTGGAGATTTGGGACTGAATTACAAAGTTAATTTTCTGAAAACTGCTTTCAAAAACCCGGAACTGCGAGTTGGCGATTTGACCAACGAGACCTCCATTCTCAATGTAGGCGTCCAAGTAGCCGATTTGCATGTTGCAGTTGAGAAGTCTAACGTATGGGCCACTGACTCCGCGTTCGATACCCAACTCCACCGTGATAGTGACCTGAACGAGAAAAAATAGGCTGAGTAATTTCTAAAAAATACCTGATGGATATTAACTTGGACGATTCCGAATAAGGCGATTGGCAGAAGAATGACAATTTGTCCTCCGAGGTTACCAGTTACTCTGAAGCCATACCATTCGATTTAATACAAGTTTACGGTACCCAATATCGACGTTTTGGACTTGTAAAATAACACGATTGGGTGGCGCTGGATAAACGACGACTCTTTGTGGGCATCGGTATCGCGAAACGTAAAGATTGTAGACTTGAATGCAACCTTGCACCTTGAAACTCATTGATCCAGTTTATTTTTGTTAGTGATTTAACCTGAGGAATGCACTGAGAGATGGGCGGGATTCGAGCCTTCTTGATCTCTTGATTGAGCACTTCTCCAATCAGTCCGCTTGCGTATTGGAAGGCGCGCTGGTTGATCCTAGCCTTGAGACCGGGATAGCCTCGTGAGCCTTGCAGCAGGATTGGGTTGAAGTCAGGACTGAACAATTATCCGTCTTTTTTGGATTTCAATAACCTGGAGTCATATTTGCATATTTATTCAGTCAGAGAAGGTCTTTTGCTGAATCATGAAACAATCGAAGAGTTGAAGTAAGATTTTTAATTTTAATAACCAGCCAAGATATAGCATTGAGCAACTGAGAAGGTCTAGGTAGTGGTGACTTCCCTTATCACACAGATATGGTAACAACTCACGCATTGGAGAAGCCTCCAGGTCCGGCAACACCTCCGTAAGGTCCGACGGCACCGTAGCCACCGCCGCCGCCAACACCGGCATATCCACCCGCGTTAATATATGAGAAGGTGCATAATAGCACCTGAATTTAAAGCATTTAGTCAATTGTCGTGAGAAATTTTGCGGTAGCTGCGAGAAAACAGCCTTCTGCGTGTAATTTAAAAGAGTTATTCAGCTTTTTTTCTCCGATATAACGCCAAAGAGTACACTAAACATCACGAACCAATAAAATGACTCTCATCGGAAGAGAGTGAGTCCGGGCGGGGAACCGTTGCGGCTACCTGAATTTTTGATGGTTTGACTGATTTATTGAATTAGTTGAATCAAGATGGAAAATACGACGGGATCGGTACTGGAGAATTTGTCTATGGGTACTTTTTGTCAAGAAGTCGCTCGATTCGGTTGAAAAAAAAATGTTCTATTGAAGCGGAAATGTTTGAAAAAAAAGAGGAACGGATATTATTTTGAGGGAAAGAAATAGTTTTCTTTTTCTGAATAAATGATTTTTATAATTTTGAGTAAATAGGAATACATTCAAGTCTGGAGAGAGGAACAATAAATGAACCTAAGGACTTTGTAGAGAAACAATGAGGCCCATTGCTTTCAAAAGTAACGAGGAGCTTTCATTTCCTTGAGTTTATGAGGATATATTCATGATTTTACTAATTTTCCAAGATGACATCAAGTTTCGAAGTTTTTCACGGTTATCACTACAAAAAAAAAAACATTTGTAATGTCACAATAGGGCGGCGGTTATGATTAACGGGGAGATTTCTGAATATTTACGACAACGACGATGGCATTCAGAAGACGCCTCGAACAGGTTCTCTCCCTTCTTTTGCCGTCTTTTGCAACCGTTCATTTTGCTTTCTTTTTTCGGCCCTTTTTTCTCCCTCTTCTTGTGTTCTTTTTTGCAACAACAAACAGTGGAAATTGGCTGAATTGAAGTATTGGCTGAGGAGAGAAAAGCGATGGTTTTGGCCGGTCCGGTGGAGATTTCCCTTCTTTTTTCTTTCAAAAAGTTGATAGGATGTGATAAGCTTGTTATTGAAGCAAGAAAGAGGAAGTGTTCACGGGGGTTTGAGGCTAAGTTGACTTGGGGTTAGAACTGGAATCTGTCAAACACCTTGGCTTCACTTTGAAATTTAAAAAAATTAAGGAAAAAAATTGAAGAAGAGTGTTTCAGATTCATCATTTGTAAGCTGATCGACTCAATCCTTCACGAACTCGGTCATAGAATGTTATCAATTTTTTTCGAGAAAGTTTTCAAAAATTCTTAAAAAAAGGCGCAAAAAAAGCCTTGTGATAGTCAAGGATTTCTGGGATTTCATCTCTGATAGAATTTTGAACGTTTTCGCTTCATAAAAAAATTATTTATAAGAATGAAAACAAAAAAAGTTTAAAAAAAGTTGAAACGTAATTTTTTTGTTGAAAAGGGATCTCGCCGAAAAGATAATGTTTGAAGCTATAGAATAAAGTTTCGAAAAGAAGAGCCAAGTTTTGACAAAGAATAATCAGTGAAGCGAAAAAGCTGTTGAAATCATTGCCAACTTGTTTTCCCTTTTCTAGAGATAACAGTAATCAAAACAGAAAAAGCTGAGAAAGAAGGAAGGAACGACAAAGGACAAAAGCGGCCAAAAATGAGATTGCGCAACAACGGGAAGCGATTCCCGTTTTCAGCTTCATCTTCTTCTTCCTCCCACCCTTTTGATTTGGCATTTGGTTTCGGCGTCGATCTCCTCGCCAACCACAAAGCTTGAAACTGAAACAGCGATGACATGACACAACCCGTATCGCTCGTGAAACACGTCGCAAACCCATGTTTACGGCAATCAATCCTCGGCCACGCTTATCCCTACCGTAATCGACGTGGAAAGATATTTTCGAACCAAGTGATCATTGATTATGAATATCATAAGCTTGTTCAGAAGTTTCAATCAATCCTCGGCTAAGCTTATCCCTAAAGTATTCCGCAAAAACTATTATTATTTTGATCATCGATCATCAATACTACAAAATTATTCGAAAACGGCTCGAAGAAAGCAAAACAGAAAAAAAACAGCTGCGACTACGACAGAATTATATTATGTACTCCAAGGCGAATTTGCGAAATACTTATACAGTTTATCCATAGAAGTTGAAATAAAGCTTTTTGAGAATATGGGAGAACCAAAAATTTTGGAGCGATAATTCTGGTAAATATTGATATGTATACCCAATTAAGACAGAATTGTTAGAAAAGTTAGCCGCCGAAGGATGAAACTTGTTTGCCCCATTGCTAACATTGAAATAAAAGTACTGAAGGAAGAGTTGAATTTAAACAGGAAAACTAATCAGGATAGAATTGTTAGTTGGGCTTAAGAAATAAGAGCTGAAGAAGTAGCCGCCGAGGACCCGAATTCGATGGCTAACCGATGGTAGGATTTAAAATCACTCGAACCTCGGTAACGGAAATCGAACGGGCTCCGTACGGTTCCAGGCATTTCTAGGGATCACTTAGGAGCGCTGACGATGCTAAAGTGGTCACTAGAAATGTTCCGACTCGGCAAAGATGGCGCACGGTGCATTCTGCTTTTTTGCACTCTGGTGCGAAACTGGAGTCTGCGTCGTGCAGTTTTGGTGCTTTTTTGGTGTCGCACTGGTGCAGCACGCTAAAAGCACTGATTTGACACCTTTGCACCAAAAAGTCACCAAAATCGCACGGTGTAGACCCCACTTACGCACCAGAGTGCAAAAAAGCAGAATGCACCGTGCGGCATCCGTGCTGAGGAGACGTCCGATTCGCGTCCCGTTCTCGTTACCAAATACCTAGGAGGGCGGAAAAAAATCCGCAGTTTCATTGAAAATGTAGAACTTTGAAAAGGCGTTTTTTAGTTTCGTTTTTTTTTCTTAGCTTCAGAACTTTCCTTATAAAGGCCCTACCCACTGGATTATTTCTCGGTTGATCTCCTCAGATAAAAGAACATGCCGAAACATATCTTTTTCGATCTTGCCACCAGAAGATCTTTTCAAATTGACTGATGGGCTTTCAACGAGAAAAATTAACGACGATCGGTGCGGAACATTGATTTTTAGCGAGTTTTCTTAATTTGGGAAACGCGCAGACCGAGGAAATGGTCAGTGGGCTGGAAATGGGAGGCACAAGAAATCTATTTGTGTTACGGTTGAGAAGAAAAGATCAAAAATATATTCAAATTAAAATTTTCCCATTAACTTTCTTTTCACGACCATATAAGAAAATTTCCAAAACTTCCTCTAAAAACTGATAAAAGCAGATAGTATCGGATGGCGGCTTCCCAGAAGTCACACCTTGCCAAATAAAACCAGTTTTTTTCGAAGAACAGCGAACAAAATTTTACAGGCGAAACGGATCTAGCGACCTTCCTAGCGGAAGTCAAGACGCTTGTCTACTGAGCCAAAGGAGGGGGAATCGAGGGGAAATGTGAGTGATTGACCAAAGGAGAAGCCGTGGCCTTGAGCATCAACTGGATTTTTTTCCTCCTCCCGCGCTTGTTCGTTTTTTTCCTATGTGTTGGTTGGTTGGTTTCTTTATTCATCTGGTGGTCTCGTCGGTCGCTTTCCGTTTGAATAATGTTACGTTCTTCTGTATGTGTCGGCCGGTTTCGATGCTGGTTTTTTTTTTCTGTGTGACGAATACATCGGGTTTGGACTTTTAAGTTGGATCATTGTGCTTGGAAAGTTTTGAAAAAGAAGAAGCTTGTGAAGAATCAGTTTTCAGCGATTTTTTGACGTTGTGATACTTTTATTGGCTTTGATAAGTTATTGTGTTTGAAGATTTATAGAATTATAGATTCCTGAACAAACGTTAGAGAAAGTTTTGAGATACTTCACTAACTCTGGAAGAAATTGAAAGAAAACACCAAGAAGAATCTAAAAAAAAGGAAGGGCGACAGCTTGAATGAAATGACCGAAAAGCAATCGGCAAGGTCTAAAATCAAATCGTTCGGCCATAAAATTCTTCCAGGAACAATTAGATTTTTTTTGTATGACTTCAATTGGTCTCAACACAAAAAGAATGAAAGAAAACCGTTTAAAGCGGCTTTTGCTTGGTCTCTCTCAAGGCAATTGGCAAGGGTCTGATTGCGCCATGATATTGCGCAAGGCAACATCGACATCAAACAGGTTCCGAAGGGAGGATGGACCTCAGCTTTTCCCACGCAACTGCTAAGCTTCTCTCCCTCTTGCATAAACGGATTGTCGCCTTTGGTATTTGGGATCGCGGGACCGATTCCCGATTAACAAGCTGACGCAACTTTTTTCGATGTTTTCAGTATTTTCATTGATGAAACTGTTGACAAGAACCGTTTTTCATATGAAACCGTATGTAAGAAAATGATAAACGGCCATTTTCGCCATATGTGATGAAAGGCTAAAAATGGCTTTTTAGTAGTCAAAATAAGTGTTTCGTTTAAAAGAATATTCCATAAGAGCCTTTTATACAAAGCTAGGATTTTTTTTGAAAATAATACGCAATATCAGGCTCTTTCTATTGCTTGGTGAACCCCTTTCTACTTTCTCACAAACGGCCTCTGAACAAAAGAACGAAAAAAGGCAGATTAGAGATCGAAGTCGTTACAATGTGCTCAGTAAAACAATAGCACATGAGCCGGATAATAATTGAAAAAAGTATACTCACTGATTTTTTTCTTTTACATCATATATCAAAACACTTTAATCTGTCTTTTAAGCTATGCTTCTTTTAATAGTGAGAGCATTATCGATTTTTTGAGTTTCAAAGCCCTACATGGAGCAGAATAAATTTTTTTCGTTTTTTTAACTTAAAAATGTATTTACTTATGTGAATTTAAAGGTAAAAAAAGTTATTTTATACGAGTCGTGAGAGCAGCTAGTCAACTGACTTGAAATGTATGCACAGATAGATAGAAGACAAAGTTGTAAGAACAGTCAAGAAAAATAGAGGATTCTTAAGAATCGGAAAAAAATTTTCAAGTGAAAATATATTTTTTGATATCAAAAACTCGTTTTTCGCTCCAACGATCGACTTCATTTTTTATTGTTATTGAAATATCCTTCGCAACTTTCTCTTCTTATAATCTTTCCGGCTTTTTTTGAAGGTGAGAAAAGAACGCGATCCGATTATTTCGTAATAACTCTGCTAGGCTAGTTCGAGTTCACAAATTACAGAACTCCCGGTTTTCAAAATGGAAGGAGTAGGAAATATTTCAAAAGAAAAGAAAAAAAAACTGGATACTTGTTTTACCTTATCAGATGAAAAAAAATTTTAAGGTAAGGAAAAACAGAACAATGTAACAGACAAGGGCATCACTGAGAAAAAAATGAACATTTTGAAGAATTTGCAAGAAAAAGAGAAAATTTTCAGTTCCAAAAGTTTTACGTTTTTCAGAAAAAAAAATTATTGCTTTTCGATTTTTCTGAATTCCCTTGAAAAAATAGAAAAAAAAAGTAAATTTTTCAAATTGGAAAGTGCTGCTCCAAATAATTCCATGAAACTGAGTTTTTAACAAGTTAGCTCAGAAAAAAATGAAAAGAAATCTACAGTTGAAAAAAAAGCATCTTTCAATGTTGAATGATAGGATCGTAATCCGCATAATATAAGAAAGAAGAAGGGAACAAAACTTTCGTGTTTCGAGTTTCCGGGTTCGAAAGAAAAGCCAGTTTTCGTTGTAAGTTTTGAGAAGGACTCTACAAAGAAGATTAAGAGAAGAAAAAAATTTTGAAATAATCATTGCTGTTTTTCAAGCTCAAATCAGTAGCGGTGAAAAAACGTTATTTCAAATATTGAATAACCTGTAGAAGATTCAAAGATTAACGTTGAAGACAAAAGTAGGTTCATTTCTTAGTAGCAGGTTTACATAAAAGCCCCAACACTACAAAAAGAGAAGGGAATAAAATAAGGAAGGAAAGTTGGTTGGTTGGAATGTTGCCATTGGTTGGTAGTCATTGTGGGACGCTGACAATCACCGGCGAACGTCGTCGGATGCCATTCCAAAATCGGCTTCTCTCTGTGGCCTACAACGTCGCCCCGCCCACGGAATCGTCGACCGTTTTTGCGACTCGTTTTTTTCTTCATCTCTTGGGTTGTTTTGATGAGTTGGATTGGAATCCAATTATTTGGTGTTTGATAGTTTGAATGAATTTTTGTAGGCGGTGACAAGGTCAATAGAAGAAGCTCAAAGACTGGACTTCATATATTTTTTTCAGAGAGAAAAATAGGTTCATAAGGCTCAGCGTTGAGAAGATTAAAGTTGAAGCTTAGAAGCTAAAAATTCAGATTTTAGAGATACGCCTCGGAATTGAAAGAATAACAATTCCAAGTTTAAAAATTGAGTGAAGACCCGAAACCTTTGAAATTGCCTTTATAAGGTTTCGCTTTTTGGAAAAAACCCAAAGTTCTTTAATTATTCATTATTAAATAGTACGATAATCAGATGAATTTTTTTCCGAGCATAATTCGATGTCTTCAAATACCGAAAACATTTTGAAACTTTCTCAAAACTTGAACGACCAGAAGTATGTTCAGGTACTCGATTCGGGCCAAAAGATCGAGAGGAAAGTCTCAAGAATGGCCCAAGTCATTTCACTAGGAAGAATGTGATATAGCATATTCAGATTGAACGCTACACAAGACGGAGACAACAAAGATAGTTCGAGGAATCAAATTTTGACCTCCGAAAGCTCAAAGAGATTCAAAAACCGAGTGGTTCCGACATTTAAAGCAGTAGCATGAGAATGGCATCGATGACGCATACCTAGCTGCCGTTCGACGTCTTCAAAGACAAAAAAAAAATCAAGAAATGGAAAGTCTCGCTTTCGAAGCGCTCCAAGTGATCTCACTACTGATGAGAATTTTTCACTTTTACTCCGTCATCGATGACGTCACTGATGCCGTCGACGGGAAGGAACGAGTTCACACTCAGACGCCTCGGCACAAGTCGTTGCCAACGAAGAAAACGGGAAATAATTGAGTTTTTCAAAGGGGTGGGACCATTTGTGAAGGCCGGTTGGCGGTTGAGAAAATATTAATGATCTGCTCGGGTTTTTATGGTCTTTGATAGGCTTCCGCCGTTTTTCTGAGATCTGCAGATCAGTGAGTCTGTTGTAAAACTATTCGAAAAATGGTGACTGTTTCGGAAGGAGGGGGGATTATTTTTAACTTCAAGAGCAAAAATTTCAAAAAGCTTCAGAAATTATCCTATAAAACCATCTATAAAAAAGCGAAAATGGAGAGAAAACTATTTGGTTTTTTCAACGGTCCCTCGTTAGTCCAAAGATAATGTTTATTCAACTGCCGACCAAAACAAAAAAGAAATTCATTCAGCGTGCTTGCGCAACATCCATCCCAAACTCGATTAAATTTGGAGATAAGGGAAAAGCTTAGATAGTTCTTGTAGGAAAGAGAAATGATGGAAATTTCGATTCGCTCAATCGGAAAGTTTAATTTTCAATTTCGAGCGGTCCCAACTTTTTGAGAGACCTTTTTTGGGGTGATTGTGAAGCACAGATTTTAAATGGGCACTAATAAAAACAGTTTCTATGGACATGCTTCAGAAATCCCGTTGGAATTTTAGACCATTTCCTGATGATAAGAATACTATCAGGAAAGGAATAGGACAGACAAAAAATGGAAATAAGCAAAACCCTTGATTGAACTGTTTCTTTCTGTAGCCAACTTTTGCCGTTCGCAATCGGCGACAATTTAAAAAAACCATTCTCCTTCCGAAAGTCCAACAGAACCACACCCTCCACACTTTTTTTATGTCGTCCTTATATGGATTTTGTTTTGGCGCAAACTTCTTTCCATTGTTTTCCTGTGTTTGGAATTGCAACGGCAAGATGGTATCACGGTCAGAAAACAATTAGATTAGCATCGAGACGATTTGTAAAGTGGATAAGCCGTTAGAATGTATGCGAGGGTGGACTTGAGAAACTTGGAATAGAAAAAATTGGAAAGAACAAAGTTTATTGAGCTGATATGAGAAGAATATAATTAATTGTACTGGGGAAAAGCTTAGAGGATTTTTTATAGCTCAAAAATTATTTCTCAACATCTGATTTCACCGATAAATGATGTTGGGAAGTGATCGAAGTTGTGAACGTTGAAGTGAACGTTGAACGTTCTTACGGAACATTGTATTGATTTTCAAAATTTTCAAATGGAAAACTTAGAAAAAACGTAAAAAAAAACAATCCATAAAAAAGGCTAGAAGTTCTACCTTGTCGGAAAAAAGTTAAGTAGGTGAGGTTCTGAATCTTCCAATCAACGATTTTCTAATAAATTGCCGTCACAAACTGTAGTGATTCCGACGTTTTGTGAAAGAAAAAGATTCAAAACGAGATATTTCCCTCTGTGGAAACTGGCCGATTATTTGCTTTTGATACGAACGAAATATATATGACTTTGACTGGGAACAGGAGGGATTATTCCTGCTTCTCAAGTGTTTTTTTTTTCATGTATCCAACTCAAACTTGACTAGAAGAGAAAAATAGAGGAGTGGATTTTCAGTTTGAAAGTTTGTGTGGTTTTAAGAAGATTTTAAGTCGGAATAGCTCTTTAAAAAGTTTTACAATTCACAAAATGAAACTACAAAATATAAGCGTGCGAGAAAAAAGAAGAGATGAACAAGCTTCTGCGCATAATTGCCGTAGATTTTCGGCGTACCGCGATCAGGTGTAAAACCGACCAAACGACAAGTTGCTTTAATAACACGAGGCGAACGGAAAGACTCTTTTCTTGAGATCGATCGTAGGTAGTTTCGAAGCAAAAGCGAGAAAAAAAATGTTGGAATCGGTCAAAAAAGCCTGAGGATGTTCTTTGAAACAATAAGGTTGAAATGAACATCTATAGGAGCTGAAATCCGAAAAAAAAGAGTCTGAAGGTTCAGCTTTGTGACCAGAGAACTTTGAGCTTCATTTGGTTTTCGAAATTCAATTGGGACTTGAAAAAGTAAAAAGGACGATTTGATGCCAAAAAACTAGAGAAAGTCGTAAAGATTGGGTGTTTTATTTTCTTTTTTTTTGAGAAAGAGTATATAAATTTTTTTAAACTAAAGGCCAAATAATTTTCAAACAAAGACCGTGAAGTTTAGTGCCAATGGACTTCAGGGTTCCAAATTCATTTAGAAATTGAAACGCAATAAAAAATGGTTGACATATTGACGACAAATAAGGAGAGAAATTGGCAAACGGCCATGGCGACGCTACAAAACTGGTAGCCGCCAACACAAGGATGGGAGAATTGGAGGCGATTTCCTAGCCGAGGATGAGACGCCCCAAGCCAAGCCAAGTTCTTGGTCCGAATAGCCAATGCAAATACAAATACAAACACAAATTCCGAGGTGTTTCTCGACTTTTGCCAATCTTCGCACTTTACATGGGTTCAGGTTTCGAATATTATAAAGTCAATTTCTTTATACACGGCCTTTTTTCAAGCTCTGTTAGGGAAAATTAAAAAAGTTTCTCAGGTTTTGCACCAACACAAAAATAGACATGACTTTTTTTCTATTTTTTCCAAGATTGACTCAACCAAGCACTACCAAGACAAAATCAACGTTTACAAAGAAGTAACGAAACGAAAGAGAACGTTTGGAAGAAATTCGAAGTGTTTTTTGAAGATTCCAATGACGGTCAAGTGTGAAATCCCGAAACGGATATCAACAGGCCGGAATGGAAAAAAAGCCCTCTTTCTTTCTCCGCTGAACACATTGGTTCCAGGGGAAATTCTTCAGATAAATATTTTGTTTTGACTTCCAATTTCTTTTCTGAACTCTCAGTTTTTCCTAATTGTTTTATCCTGCGCTGTGAAAGTGTGTAGAATCATGGGCGGAGAATAAATTCCTAAGTACACAACTGGGAGATCTATGAATTATTTTAAGATTGGAAAAACACAAAAAAATGCACAGTTCAATCAAAAGTCCCAATGAAAAAAATATGAAAAAAAGAAGAATTAGAATTTGGTATCAGAAACATTGCGGGTTGTTATCTCTTCCGTATGAACTCTATGTAGCTTTGCTTGTTTGTAGTTGATGTAGAAGACGACATATTTCGAAGTGTAGAAAAGGACGTGGGAACATTTGGCCACAAACAGATAGACTTGAGGCTCCGTCCCGAGAATCATAGGAATTCGGAAGATATTTTCATTCAGGAACAAAATGAACAGAGGAAGGCACACCTGGAAAATATTTTAATATTTATTTCTGTAATGTTCGACTTTTCCCAGTCATCTCTAACATAAGCATTTTCGAAAATTCGAAATGCAAAAAAGCTTTTATTTTAGCCTCTAAGGGGACCATGTAGCTACTGAAGGTGTTTAAGCTTTATTCTGGTTTGTCAACAAGAAATTAAACCGACCCATTGAAAGTTAAGTAGATGGTGTCTTTTTTTCCAGCCCACAAAGATTTTAGGTAACCTTAGGTAAAGATTTTAGATAACCCTTACCATTTTGAGAGCCTTCTGTGTGTTTTTCCTTATCCGCGACGCTCCTTTGACCTTGAGGGATAACTTTAGATTCAATAGACGAAAGCATATAAGTATGATTATAATGAGAACTGATTGTGGGATTAAGTGGGACCAGGTTGCTGATAGATACATCTGGAAAAAAAGTTTTCTAATCAACGTCGCTAAACTTTCACCTGCTCCTTCACTTTGAAAAAAAAATGGAATAAAACTTACTATTTGAACTGCGGCCATAACAAGTGCGCCAATTACCAATAGAGCATACATGAAATTGGTCAGAAGGACGTAGCAAACGAAAGAAATGATCCGGTTGGCTTGGGTTAGTTCCTGGTAGCAACTTAGGAAAATATGGAACACGAATCCCAAAGAAATTTCAAAGATTGAGGCGTGAACGACCTTAAAATGGACATTAGGACGCAATTTTTTCAAATGAATGAAAATCAAGCTTTAAAAAAGATGAGTTTAAAGAAAATTACCGCCAAAAATTCAAGTTCCGCTGAGTGACAAGACATAAAAACATTGTTGGTTGCGCAGATAATAAATGCCATTATCCCTGTACCGATCTGTAATTTTTAATTTGGGCGTAACTTGAAACGTCATGAATTTTCTGAGAACGCCGCAGTTGAGCTGCGTTTTGGCAGTTGAAATTTAAATCTCGCAACGTTTTTGAGGTCGCAATCTGTGTTCGTGTTCACCTACTCGAAAACTTTGAACTGGTGACTTGAAAGAGCTCATTTTTCATTGAAGAAATACAAAGTTACCTGGAAGGAGAGACAGGAGTACCGGTCACTGGGTAAATAGCGTCGGTCAATGATGAGAACGGCGAAAACGCCCAAGAAGTCGGCAAAACAGTAGAAGACCTCGATAGTGAGCAGCAGAGCGCTGTGCCATTCGATTTCACAATTCATGAGGGTCTCTTCAAAGTTTATTATCATTTTTTGACTGTTCAATTTGAAATTTAGAAGAAAAATAATCTCTCCGTGTATAAAGTGTAAAAATTGATGGTTTGGAAATTTGGGTCATTTGGAAAAAGAAAAATTCTCACCGTTCAAAGTGATATTCAAGTGGGACCGAACCATTTCAAGGAGACGATTGTGAATGTGAAAGTTTCAGTTTTGAAACTTCGGCGGGAGCTCCAGGTGAAAAATGGAAAAAAGCGCCTGAAAATATCCACCTTTTTGAAACTTTGAACAACTTTTTGTTGTAACCTTTTCCGTTTTCTGAAAAAAAAAAAGAAAAATCTTCACTTCGTCAGAATATTGAACTTTTTTAATGTGTACAGGAAGGAGTACGAGAAACTGAGAGCTTTGCGTTTGACGCTAACCAGGGAGTGTTCTCAGCTCACAACGAGACTTCTGAATGAGACCATAATTTATAGATGAAGTTTTTCACCCTGATTCCAAATCCGATTGTGAAAGCTGCCACATATGTCTGTGGAAAAAGTGATATGAGGCCTGATATGATCTTTCAAAGCTCCAGCGGATGAGAAGAGGAAGCGAGCGCGGAGTCCTATTGCGATTCGGCGGTAGTCTGCAGCAACGGCAGCGAGGAGCAGTGGGAAGATGGCGGAATGGTAATTAAAATTAGTGCTCTAAAATTTGATCGTTCGAACCATTTGACCGTTCAACTGATTTAGCCGTTCAGTTTTCGAACGGTCATAACATGTCGTTCTTCTGGCCGTTCGTTTGACCGACCAGTCTCTGAAACTTACGAAACAGACCCACCAGAACTTGACATTTCGAACGGCCCAAAAACCAAAATTTCATTCTGAAGGGACGTGTTGAAATGTTGAAACTCCAACCGTTTGACTAATGACCATTTATTAGGATATGTTGCAAAAGTTTTGGTTGAACAGTCGGTCGAACGGTCAGTTTTCTAAACTACAGTATCTTAGGTTCGATACCATCGGTGTGCAAACTTCAAAAAAAGTTTTGGTTGTTTTTTTTTCTTTTTTTCTTTCTCAAAGGCTGTCTAGATCCAAGTTATCCTAGCTACGCTGATAAAAAATGCAAAAAAAAATTGTTTCTTACAATAATTGTTCGTGAGTCGCACTCTACCAAAAATGAGGGTGTAAATGAGGACCCGCAGTGAACTCCAAAAAAAGTGATATTTTCGTTGATGTTTGCGCTGCACCCTGGTTGGAATTGGATGGCGTGCACCTCTGGGGCAACCAGTCGAAAATAAAAAGTTTTTTTTTGAGCTACCGTAACGGCCTAGGATGAAACTGTAGAAAGTGATGATATTGGGAATCAAATCACTTCGAAATCGTGTACGGAGAAACTATCAGGCGTTTAAATATAAATAAGGTACACCCATGATTACACTGCGGGTGCACCGAAAGTTCGACTCGGGGTGCAACGCAACTTTCGTTAGAGTAGTGGGCTTACTTAGGACCATCGCCTTTGCCGAAAAAAAGGTTAAGCCAATTTCCCTTAATGACTTTTGAGGATCCATAACTTTTTCCACAGACCTATGTGGCAGCTTTTGAGACCGGATTTGGAATCATCGTGAAAAACTACATCTAGAAAACACGGTCCCATTAGAAGTCTCACTGTGAGCATAACGTGAGACCATTTTTCCGTGGTAAGTTTTTCTCACCAAATCAAATTTATCATTTTCTTTTTTTCAATTCATTTTTCCGATTGTTTCATTCGGTTTCTCACTTTTCGATTTTGTTTTTCTTTTTTTTAATCAGTGGTGATTGAGCTAGAGTTTGGAATTTAACATACAATTTGAAAACTTGGAAACTATCGATATCTCTAAATTTTTATTCATTCGTTCTGAGAAACTGGTTTCTTTCAAATTTCCCTGAGAACATCGTTTGTAAAAGATTCTTTTTTTAATTCGGTTTTTTTCAAATAATTTCATAAAATAGTTCAAGCCTAATATATTTGAATTCAAAACGTTTTCTGGGAGAAAAATTTGTTCGATTTATTAAACACAGGCGAATCGAGAAGGTACCATAATGTGTACACAAAGGTACCTCTCAAAATGGATCGTGAAGACCCCGTAATGAGCCCATCGTGAGACCTCCGGCGTACTTTTTAGCTATATCTGATCCATCTGGGAGGGACTTGAGAGTCTCCCTCAAGTCTATCTCATTTTGCTCAAAGACATCAGAGGTACCCTCGTGGTACCATCGTGAGACTTCAGACCCTGCGATATACCTCAGAGGGTCTCGCGATACCCTTTCTCGATTCGTTTATGAAGTCTTTTTCGCTTTTTTTTTCGTCATTTCCTGTGTAGATGACTTGAAGGTCAACGCCCTTATTGATTTGATTATTTTCTTATCAATTTTTTTTAAAGTGAAGGAGCTTTTTGCTTTTTTCTCGATTTTCTTTTATCGCTTTTTGTTATTAATGGAATCAAGGCCGGCAGTTGCTAGGCTACGTGTCCTTTTCCGCCTCCTAAGATTCAAACAAATAGTTTCACAATCGCGTTGCAAAATGGTGCAAACTTGCGTTCAAATACTGCAAAATCGATTCTCAGTGGGCTATTTAAACTGGGTTTCCCCCCTGCGATGTTCGTATTTGAACGTTTTTCGTTTCCTTTTTTCAGTTTCTCTCTTTTTTTCTTTGTTATCTCGGTCTTTTTTTTCGTTGGAGTTGGATGAATAATTAGGGAAAAGTCTGTCTTTTTTTTCTCAATTTTCCACGTTTTTTTTTCGTTGTCTTTTGTTTTTCCGCTCGGTTCAAATTTTTTTCTAATTTAGAATGGCCTCCCACACGACGATCATTGCCAACACGTCAGAATACCCAATTTACGTTGCCATTGATGAAACTGAGGGCTCCGCCAAAAGAAAAGTCGAGGAAATGATCAAGAAGGCCAGCAGTGAGCTTTTTTCACCGAGGAAAATATTATTAATGAAACGAATTTTCAGACGAGCCCGAAAACGGCTACAACGCCAGCAAGCCGTCTGGTTAGTTTTTTTTTGGATGTCAGGAGAAATACCTTCTGAATTGGAAAAAAATATGGGCTTTTTCAAACTATTTTAACTTATTTTATAGCCCATTCTGGTTTTGAAAAGGAATAGATTCAACTTTTGAAAATGGTACCAAGTCAAACATAAATGCTCCGCTTCGCAGAAGTCGCCTAATTTGGGAAATTAGTTATAGTCTGTGTGCCGCGACCTGAAATTTCACGGAACGACATTCCGCTATTCCGCTGCGTGCGTTTGCGAAGCGTTTTTCGAATCTAGGTCACGCTTTCAATTGATTGTTGTTGCTTTGGGAGCACATGAAAGTAGAATACCTTAATAAAAGAAAAACAAGTTAAAAGCGCGACCAAGGTTCGCAAAGGGACGCAGCGGAACAGCGGAATGTCGTTCGGTGAAATTTCAAGTCGTGGCACACAGACTGTACAACACACATAATTTCTACACACTTCAGATACTGTTTGAAAAAAAATTATTCTTTATTTTGTAGAAACCGTCTGAGTAATAATTTTATAAAAACGTCCGATCATACTTTTGAAATCCTTCAAACAGCTCAGCCACCGAAAACCCCTCCCAATTCCATAATTATTCAGAGTTCGAGTTGACAGGCTCCTTTGGGTTCACGGAAGTTTTCCCCGGCTATTCGGCAAAGTTTGTCCGTGGTGAGACCAAAACCGCCTTCGTTTCAATCTACCACTACTATTCCTTGCCTCCACGAGGTCCGCGAAATCAAACTATTCCTTTAATGTAAATATTTTAAAGTATTCCGCGGAGTTCGACTTCCATGCGCCGGCTATCGTGTTCAGAACGATGCGACCATCGTTTTCGACAAGTTTAATCAGGTTTGAAGAAAAAAAAAAAATGGACGAATTATGTCGTGGTCTTTGCATGGCGACCGTTTGGACAACTTTAGAAAAAAAAAATGTTTGATTTCTTTTCCAAATTTTCTTTTCAAAATTGTTAATATTATATTTTGCAGGTTGTCACGCACGAGGGCCTCTTGGAAGAGTTCCAGAAAAGCCCTTTAGATGAAAATCTCCGCCAAGAAGCCTTCAAACGTTTCGCTGAAGCCGAGAAGCAACGCGCCAACATTCCCCGAGTGAAATCAGATGAATGAATGATCTTGATACGTTATTACGAGTTTGTCTTATTTATCGATTGCATGTGATAAAGATTTAACCTTTTATTTCTTCTTTTTTTAAAAATAATACGCCACAGATTTTCATGGGCTTGAATGTCATTTTCTGTTTCTATTACTCTTCATTTTTGTTCAGAAACGCTTGCTAAATGTTCGAAGGCGCAGAAGTCGATAGTGGCTAAAAAAATCACACTGAAAGAGACTTTTCGTCGTAAGACCTTTATCAATTTCGCCGCCTTTGAAAATTCCAGCAATCTGTGTGTCATGATGCTTTATGACCTTTTCTTTTAATGCTTCTTCTTCAATTTCAGAATGATAAGAAAACGAAGCTTTTTCTTATCTTTTTCTCGTCATTTTATCAATATTTGAACTCCTCGAACGACTGTGTTATCAAGTTTTGAAGGAGGATCAGTCAACGCCCATCTCTTTATACCTTTTTTTCGGATTTCTGGTTGGCATATCAACTATTCTTTGGAATTTTGGAAGTTAAAAGGACTCAAAATCCTGGAGAAAGCCCTTTCTCAATTTTTTAAAGGCTCTACTTTTTGCAAACTATCTATTTTGTCTTCATAATTTTTTCAAAGAACGTTCAGAAAGTTACACTTCCCGTTTCAACTTCCTGTGCTTGGTCATAATACTCGAGTGAATAGATTTTAAATTGTAAATTGTTTTTCAAGCTCTGCTTCAAAATGATATCCTCTCCAGAATGACTAGCTACTCGACGATCGTTACCAACAAGTCGGATTGCCCGATTTTCGTCTCTGTTGATGACACAGAAGGTTCCTCGAAGCGAAAACTCGAGGAAATGCTCAGGATTGTTAGTGGTAAATTCTATTGGTGTAAAATGAAAATATTTCTTTATATGTATAATTTTTTTCTACTCGAAAGAGCTCAGATTTCGCGAAAATAATAATTCCAGGGGAAGCGGCCAGCGGCTACATTCAGTTCAGGCTAAATGGTGAATTTCAAGTTTTTGATTTCTCAAGGGACAAAAGATGTTTTAAATCCAATGAAAAAAATATATTTTCTCTTGATTTTGTCTCAAAAAAATACAGAGTAGTCCAAAAATAGAATTTTTCGTTACATTTTATGTCTGAGATATTTTCGATTGTGTCTATAAATTAGTTTTGACTCTTTTAAGCACTTTCATACTCTCAACTACAATTTAGGCCTTAGAAATATATTTTTCTCGTCAAGTTGGATTGAAAATTTCCCAGAATATGAGCAGACCGGGGGTTTTGGTTTCGCCGAAGTCTTTCCCGGTTATTCGAAGGAATTTGTCCGTGGGAATGTCAAAGACGCCTTCGTAACCATCTACTACCATTACTCCCTCCCGCCTCGAGGTGAAAAAAAAAACTCCAATTGATTGAAATAATGAAGAGAATTGAAGTTCCCCGTGGAATTCGTCTGGCCTGTGCTGGGAAACGAGTTCAAGAGGATACAACTATTTTATTCGACGAGTTTAATCAGGTTTGAAAAATAATGAATGAAAAAAAGGGAAAATAACATGTTAAGAATGTTGAAAAAAATGGTTGGTTTCGCTTTTTCGTGTTGGTCATGACACCAAATTTGACGAAAATCTCGAAATTTTTTCCAAAACTGCGTCTTTTATGGACTTTTTTTTGGCGAATTCTAGGAATTTCAGACGAGTTCAAGCCTACAAAGCCAATAAGAACTGACTGGAATTTTCATTGAAAATCAATTTCATTTGTTTTGGTTTTAAAGGTGATGGACGTACGACTGCGGTAGCAAATTAGCGGTGTCTGGCGAAAAATACGATGTCAAACGTGAGCCGCTCCCCTTGTTTCATGACTTTTGTTTACTGGTAATTTCCAATCACATCTGTCATTCGTGGTATTCTCGATTGATAAATATAAATCACTGTTTTCTTCGTTTCTTAACACTCGCTTTTGAGTAGTTTCATTTCGAGCCAAAAGCCGCGTACGTTATACTGACATCTCTCTCTCTCTCTCTCGTACTGCTGAGATTGCCTTAAAAACATGAGTTCAATACGGGTACACCCGTTGAAGCACCTGACCAGCATGAGAGTAGAGAAGACCAAGGAGGTCAAGAAAAACTAGAAATCTAAGTTCATAGGTTCCTAGAAATTAAGTTATGATCTCACAAAAATCTCCTAATTTGAAAAATCATTACTTTTCTTTTAGAAGCCTGGAGATTTTTTGACCTGGATATTTGGGCTTCTGACGTTATTTCCTATCGATTAGTGTGAAAATCTGAAAAAAAAAATGGTTTTCGAAAAAATCGAAAAAAATTCAAAGTCTAACCCTTAGCCTAAGGGCCTTAGGTGTTTTTTTGAGCTTCTGAGGTTGTGGAAGCCGATCTTGACGAAAGTTACCAACGGATAAATCTCGACGAAAAAAAAAACCGGTGGCTAGTTTTGACCTCCGTAGATCAAATAGAAGCCAACTCTCATGCTGATGAGGGCTCAGCCGTGCTAACACGGGCTCTCAACGGGTGCACCCGTATAAACCCGTATAAGCACAGCTAACAGAACTTTCTTGCACAGCTGGTAGAACTTTCTACTTTCAGAATTCTGGCATTTCCACTCCAGCTGAGACACCGCTTTAGCAAAACTGAAACTCAAATAGCCTCAGAATCACAGGTTCAATACGGGTGAATCCGCTGAGGAACCTGGCCATCATGAGAGAAATTATAGGTAGGGACCGCAAAGCCCCGCCCACAAAAGCCACGGAAAAAAATTCTAGTGCGAACAATCGTAACTTTTTTTCTAGAAGCCTAGGCAAGTTTTTCGCACCATGACGTCACTTTGAGAGGCCTATGATGAATTAATTCTTTCGATTTGAGATTTAAAGCCGGGTTGATCGAAATGTCAGTATTTATTTTGAGATCGCTATTGTGTACCTTTGGAAAATAAGAACATTGGGGGTTTAAAAACGTTAAATGTCTCGAAAATCAATATTGCTTCAAAATTGAGAAAATTTAAAAATTGCGTTTGAGCCATACTTCGTTCTTTGATTGAAGTCTGGAAAGCGATAGAGCGTGAGATTCGCAGAGACGCAATTCTCTCCTTTCCTGAAGTCTTTCGAACCACCACGCTCTGTCGCTCGTGGGAATTTTGGATATTTCCATCAAAAATGTTGGAGACAAGCAATTAGTTATCATAAAATTAATGAAAGAAAAACATTTTGAGCGCGATAAATTACGATAACCACACATTTCAAGTCTAATTCTCTTCCACAGTCTCATTTTTTTGCTGGGATTTCTTGACGAATGGGGCAAAGTCGCGCCTCAAGGGTAGTTGCTCTCCTGGCGGCGGCAGAGCTTCGTAAGTCTTTATTGGTCTCGAAACTATCGCAGGGCCTTCTTCCATTTCGATCCGGGCTGATAAGGGATTTTACAATCTTCAGGAACTACGCAAGGTCAATCAATTCCGACTTGAAAGGCGAGGGAGACAGAGAAGGAGGCGGGACGCAATTGTGTTTCTTGGCACGAGTTCAATTCAAGCGCCTTCGACTATTTAAAAAGTTCGGTCTCCTCTCATTTTGTATCTATTTCACAATTTTTAATGTACAGAGGTGACCAATCGATTAAAAAATGAAAAAAAGAAAGGAAAAGAGTGACAAATGAGCTCTCCAGATAGTCCAAGAACCGCATACGCGCTCGCCTTTCAAGTCGAGCAAATTTGATTATACCTTGAGAGGCTGATGGAAAGTGGAAGATTTGCTGAGGTGGTGGTGGTGGTCCAATGGGTAGAGGAATCATTGGTCGGAGAGCGGCTGAGAGAAGTGAGGCCTCCGCGGCTGAAAATCATTAAAACCGGACGTCCGTGAAATCAGATAGTTTTTCAAGCTTTTGGTTCATAAACCGTCGCGGAGAGTGACCTTATTAATTTGTTATACCTAGAATCGATGTTAGGCCGAAGCTTTTCAAAGACGTTTAACTGTTTTTTTTTCGATAGATTTGAGTTCCTCTTCTCATTTTTTCCTTTTCCACGAAATTACTGATAATTCCAAGTTTGAGACAATTCAATACTCCAAAACCAACCCAAAATGTTGTTCCTCGACATGGCTTCCTGCGCCGCCATGAAGTTGAGTTGATTGACGAGATGCGCCTGCTCTTCCATTCCTTTAACTATCAGATACCGTAACTTATCGCCTCAAGACCTTACTCGCAACAAACGTCTTGTCGTCCTCGATACTAGGTCTAGGCGATGGCGGTGGTGATATCGGAGGTGGTATAGTTGTTGGAGTCGAACTCATCGCCATTTCCTCAATTTTTACAAGTTCTGGAACTGTGTGCAATGAAAAACTACTTGGTTTTTCAAGATCGCTGCCTGCTTCGTCATCATCTCGATTTCTAGGGCTCTTTTATTGTAGGCGTCGACGACTTGTCGCATTTGTTCCGATTCTGAGAAAAAGAAAGGTTGGAGAAAGTCTGGAGGGAGTTTCGTTTTTTTTTTTCAGTTGTGATCGTTAGAGTTTTGGATTTCAGATGATATTTTTTCACCTGCCTGGTTTTTCAAAAAGGCCAGAACTCGCGGAAAAATGTAAAAGATCAAGATTCACTCAAAAACCATTCCCACCTGGCCATGGAGCAGCTCGAACCATCATTATCAAGCAGTAAAATGAAAAGTTGAGAGTCCTGTGAAGATGTGAAGACATGCTGATCAAAAAGTGCGTAGAAATCGACCGTTTTTCGGACCCCGGATCTTTTGGCCGATGGCAACTGGAGCGTGCAAGACTTTCTGACGGGTCGGATTATCTACACGCTTCAAGGCACGCCTCGTTTCGAGCGCTTCCCATTTTTTTTAATCTATTCGAGCTGGAGGGAAGAAAAATTTGCTGTAAAAATTGAGACGAATATTTTGAAAGAGAACTTTTTAGCTTTTTGAACATGAAGTACGCATCGATGTGAGAAAATAAGCTGCAAAAAATATCATAAAATATTTTTTTGCCATTGTTAATTTATTTTTTCTGATCGAACTTTAACTTCTTTCAATTCTTGGAGAAATATTTCTTTTCCTACGGAGGACGACTCATAACTCGCCCCAAGACGTAGTCTTAGAATAAGCACCTGTAAATATATCGTTTTTCTACAAAGCCCATGTTGCGTAATGCCGGAAAAGCTTAAAATCGCTGCCTTCGGCGGTTTTTTGACTAATAATCCTCTAATTGCACCTCGACGTAGCCGAAACTGGTTGTTAGATGATTCTCATGGTTAAGCTCTTTTATATACTTCCTTGTAAAAGTTTAATTAGAGTTTATGATATACTCTGATTAAATTAAATATTAATATTGAATCTTCTTAACTGATATACTGTATATCATAGAAAAGATTTTTATCGAGCGATATATTATTAAAACTGACGTGCACTCTACATGAACTTTGCAAAATTCTTGCGCCCCGCCTGCCTACGTACGGATAGTTTTTTTAATTTTTTTAAATTATCTTGCTTTCTCTCGTTTTTTCACTCGTTTATAGATTCCAGTTACTGAAATAAGCTACAGAATCAGGATATTAACCACGCGGCTTCTTTGAAGTTTTAAATATTTCAACATGTCTTTCCATTTGCCCAGTGCCAACTCATTCCTGAAACGTTTTCAAAAACGGGCTTTCTTTTTTTGTTGAGCATGAGAGTTACGAAATTTTTCAGAGTGTATAAAAAAATTTGAAATCTCGTTTTGAGATGAAGAAGTTTGTTGCTTTTTTTTAGTTTTCTGTAATCGTTTTATGCATTTTACGCTAACTTTTTGTTGAATTTTTTTCTGTTTTTTTCAGTGACGAATGGGTCTTGGCACGAATCTCGTCGATTGGGTGGACAAGCACAGGAAAAAGCCGTCAGCAGTGATTGGAAACATTGATATTCCCGCGTATTGTCTGAAAAAAATCGGCTCTCGACACCTGGTTCTGGCCGGTGGTGGCGGCTCTTCGAAAACTGGCGTCGCCAATGAAATTCAGGTTTTTTCACAAGAAAAAGAGGAACTTTTCAATCATAAGAAGATTTTCAAGACGCATTTATTATCATTCGAGAAGGAAAATTCGGCAGCACCGTCTACGATGCGAGCCGAGTGCGTTGACAAGGTTTTTTTCAAAAGTTATTTTGATTGAAAATTTTTTGTGAGTTCAACGTATCTTTGTTTCAGTTTGACACGGGTCCCTTCGCGACGATGAACATGGATGTGGCGTGTCTAACCGAAAAATCCGATCGATGGCAGATTTTTTTAATAGCCGCTGGCCATGAACAAGTGACTGGCTTGAAAATTATTTTTTATAAGTTTTTTTGGTTTTTCTTCAAAAAAGTCAAGGAGTAATGAAATAGGACAGATTATTAGTGACATTGTAGCTCCTGTTGGAAAAAAAGTTTTTTTAAAAGTCTAGCTTGAAATAAAATAAAATATAAAATGGTAGTTAAAACTGAACATGTTTATTTCTAATAGAATCAGTTATCATTCGTCTAAGAAACATTTCAAATTGAAAAATAAAAAAATTACAAGCTTCAATATTTTTGTATTTCAGTTCTGCGACTTCTACATCACGCAAGGCTTCAAGTTAACTGAAGAGGACAGGAAAATCGGGTTCAATTTCAAGCAAATCGGTCGTGTGAGGACTGATCATCACACCAAAATGTCCTACCAGGTTTTTAACCTCTGAAACTTAGTTAACATAATTTTCTCAAGAAATGCGTCAAATTTGATCGTCAATACCGAGGTCAAATGGTTGCGACTGGAGGAGCAGATGGCCATGTACGAATTTGGGACGCCAGGACCATTAATAGAAAAAGTGTTCGTATTCCAAAAGTTTGGTTTCCATCAGAATTTTGTTTTGTAGGAAAAAGACCCTGAACCGAAACCGCTACACGACGTCGCCGCACACGAATCCGATGTCGATGATATCGATTTTTCCTATGATTCCAAGATTTTGATGTTTGTGAACATTTTATTTTCGACATGATATTCTGCTCTGAATCATTTCTCAATGTTAAAGGCGCATAGATTTATCAAATGTTTTCGAAGCGAAATTTCCTTTCAGTGTTTTGGGTTTCATGCCTTTAAACACTTGTTGAAGGGTTTAAAAACAGAAAATACATCTATTTTTTCGTGTAGATTCTAATTTTTTATTTTTCAGATCGGTTGGAAATGGTAAAGCGTTCCTATGGAGCACACAAACTGGCGAAATGCTCATTGATGTTCCGTTTCCGATTGAAATTGCTCGTGGTTTCAAAGTATTTTTTTTGATAGTTTTTTTAAAAATCATGATACAAATAAGTTTCGAAAGAATATCTTTTTTTGGAGATAACTTTTTTTGGTAGAAGGGATGTGATTGGTTAACTAGCTTCTGTCTGCGACGATTGAGATTTTTTTATGGCTATAATTTTTTTTATATTCTTGCGGATTTTTTTGAAGGCGCAATATTTTTTTACAATATCTCTAAAGGATGAGCTTTTTCACCTCGAGACCTTGTTTATATCAGCATATGCCCATTCAAATATCACGATAAGAGTTTAAAAAGATACTATGCTCGTTCTCAAAGGGATTATCTCTTTATAATTCGAAATTCTTCAGATGAGAAGTGTCCGGTGCACGAATCTCGGTGCGGCCAGCAGCAACACGGTTTTCGTCGCCGCCTACAACTCTATCTCAAGAGCTTCGAAGGATATTGCCTGCTACTTGGCCTTGTGGGCTTTCAACTCCGAGAAAAAGCTTCTGCGGCCTGTCATTGTCAAGAAAGTCGCCACTGAGGTACGGCTGAAGCTTGATCTCGTCTTCAAACTAATTTCGGCGATTTGAAAATTGACGCGTTATTCGTGTAAAATGTTTTTACGAAATAATCGAAAATAGAAATCCGGGAGTTATTTAAAAAAGATCTTACAACGATATATCGCGAAATGTGACTTTTTACGGCGAACTCTACGCGCGGATATAAATTTTGTAAATTTGTGTGAAAAGTTGTAAATGCTCAAATAATTTCAAAATTTAGAGTTCGCGCAATTCGGAGTTTTCCCGGATTCATATTTTGTCTATTTCGCGAAATAACTTAAAATGAAAATTTTGTCAGTTTTGAAATCGCTGAAATTGTTTTGAACATTGACCCGGTTTTCAGGGTTATATTTTGTAGCCAAGTTCTTGCTGTGCCTTTCAAAGAAACCTGAACATTTTCTAAAACGTCTCGAGACGAAGTGCGGTTTTCATCAGTTTTGTCAGTATATGAGTGATTCCGCGAAACGCCAGAGGTGAAAGGGATTGCTAAATTTTGGGAAAGTCAGAGACAATTTTGCTTTTCGCCGAAATTACTTTGAATACGGCAAGACCATTATTATTTTCTTCTTTTTAAATTTCGTTTTTTCATTCGCTTCTACTCAGGCGATATCAGCCCTGTCGGTGACGGATTGCGGCAATTTCACGGCCATCGGGACGATGTCTGGCGGCGTCGGCGTCTACGACACCCACGATTTCCGGCAACTTTTATTTGCTCCAGTAAAAAAAACCCCAAAATTTTTCATTATGCACGATCAAATTGTCCAGGAGACCCACGGCATCTTTGTCACATCGATCGAATTCCTCGACAAGACGGCCAGTGACGTCGTCCTGAAGGACGAACGCGGCAAAGACGTCATCGAACCGGGACCTGCCGCCGGATCTCAAGCTTCTCTCGTCTCTCTCAGTGCCGACAATAGTGTTCAGGTCAGGAAATGGCAAAATAGTCCATCGACCGTTAGGTCAGTGCGTAAGGTGCTATCGAAACTTGTAAAACTTTTTTTAATACTGTTGTTAGGATCCTCATTGGTCTAGCTTTGAAAAATAAATACTTCTGAGTCTTCTAAAAATCACTATTGGCCACACGATTTTTTTAATTGGATTTTAGGATGCCGTGTTTTTTGTTTCCAAAATCAAAAATATCGTCAGGGCGTGAGAGAGATAACAGAATTCAGAACTCAAAAGTAATTTTCAATTTCGCGAAAGATGAAATTCACCACAGCAGCTGTTTAATGAAATGTAATTCGTTTAAATAGCTAGCAAAGTTTTTTTCTCATTTGAATCGTTCCGTTTCAGGTGCACACGGTTCAATATCCGCAAAAATCGTCCATCAGCGGCTTCCTATTGAAATTGTCGATTTTTAGCCTCTTCATCTACCTTTTATTTTTCCTCTTTGCTTAATCCCATTTTTCAAAAGTTTCTATATGATAGCGAAATTGCGAGTACTAATTTATTTCCTCTTGGCCAAATATCTTCTTCTTCTTCAGTGGTAATAAGATTAATAAGATAATGATTTTTAAAAAAAAACTATATGTGATCCGCTAATACGCCAAATCGCCTCTTTTTCCTTTTTTAGAAATTTAAAATTTCCTTTCATAATCCATATAGCATGTTTTCATGTGAATTACCTTTTTTTGTTCGTTTCTCGGGTGGAAGCTGTGTTAATATGTATCTTTTATCAAGAATTAAGTTATATAAAATCAGTTTTTTCAACGGGTATAAAACGATCACCAAATCCATCGGGAGAAGAAAAAAATAGTGACAAACTGGCCAGGATTATTCAAATAGAGAAATTTACAAAGTATTCATCTCGGGAAAAGAACCACATATTCGGAAATTCCGGTTTTGAGTACAAAAATATTAAGAATAATGGTAAGAAGACACCGTAGGAACACACTAAATTGCTATTAATAATGGGAATAAGTTATGAGATTGAAGACTATGTTACATTATGGATGGAAAGAAAGATGAGGAGTTTCAAAGTAAAAAAAAAATACTTGCAAATATAGATTTTCGTCTGTACAAAGGCGTCGATTTCAAGCGGTTCGGATCTTTCCGGGTACGTAGTTCTTGTCAATGACCGATTCTTGCAGGAAAATATGCAACGAACGTTCGTTTTGCGCCAACGGATGACCGGCTACTCTGAGAAAAAAAAAAGATTGAATTGAAATTAAAACCTGGAAAAGTTGATGAAGAGGAACAAACTACTGAAGTGGCAAAATCACGAATTTCCAGTTAAATACTAGAGTCGAAATAACTTCAATCAGTTTTTAAATTTCTCAGGGTATCAGAAATTTTCGAACTTCAATAATTAGATTGAGAAATGAGCTTCATTCAGCTGAATTCATAGAAACAAAAAGTGAATAAAGGAATATACGGAGAACTAAAATATATTAGAAAAAAATCAAAAAGTGCTTTTTACGTATTTCAAAAAGAGAAAGAAAAATTCGATCTTTGGAGTTTAATGAAAAAGTTTCCTCAAAAAAATGTTCCGGAGACTTTGGCCTTACAGATTTGACATCGTTCAAACCGAATATTGCCTAATTTTATGAAAAAAAAAATGAATAAGAACGCACTTATTAACGAAAAGCTCCAACGCTTTGCGGCGATTTTCAATAAACTCCTCCTCAAAAATGCCATCATCGGACCGGAATGGTAACTGACGCTTCAAAGATTTTCCCGGCAAGGCTGGCACGACGATCTAAACACTTCTCATCTCGTTTCAAATAAAAATTAGGCCAATAAAAAAACCTTGCTGTCTCGTTCCAGCTCTCCGCGGAGCCACTCAAAATCGCTGTATCGGCGCCGGACGCTCGACTCTTTTTGCTTGAAAACTGGGAGATTCGACTGAAAAAGCAAAAAAATATAAGATGATTAAAGAAATGCACAAACCCTCATCCGGATTTCGTAATCCGTGTATCGGTTTTTGCCAACGCCGTGAGTTATTGGATTCACAACCTTAATTAACTAAATTAAAGGTGACAACAGTCAATTTTGAACTTCAATTTCCAGGAAGTTGGCAGGCGGTGCGTAAGCTTCGTCCAAAGTTTGTCTCTTTGATTGCAATCGCTGTGTGGCTGCAGCGGTCGTTGCCATTGTACCACTGAAAAATACACTACTATAAAGTTTATTTGAGAAACAGCATTTTCAAATAAAATTCAAGCGAAAGATGGCTTAGGCATTAGCAAAAAAAAAATTTCGATAGGAGAAAAATCGAAAAAAAAAAAATGGCTAATGATGTGCGCAACTAAGAAATCAGCGCTGTAAAACACTAGACTAATTCAAAAAGGGTCCGGAAACCTGCTTTGCATGGAGAAAAATCGATAGAAACTGTTTGATGTGCCGATATAATGGTTTCGTGCGCCAAATAGTGTAAACGAATAGAAAAAGTAAACTATTATAATATTTGCCCTCCTCATTAAAAGTGAAACGCCAGAAGCCACACCAACTGCAGAGAACGCCAGAAACAAGAAAAGTTACGCTCTGAACCAATGACAACATTCAAACATTGATAAATCACGGCGAATTGAAGGAACAAAGTTCGAAGTCAACGAAAATTTAGACGACGACGACGACTCATTCGCGGCCGGGAAACTTGTGGTCTGGAATTCCAAATACGCCGCAGGCACTTACACGAAAACGCGCAAAATTTGAGAGAATCGTATTTAGCCCGGCAAAAAAGATTTTTCGAATGTAAGTTTTGAAAAATTGAGATCTTGATTATATTTGTTTTGTTCTTATTTTTGGTGCCGGTTTTGTATTCGGATGTTTTTATTCTGCTGTTTAAATTGAGTTGTCTTGCTCAAGAAACGTTGCCTTGCTTCTTTCAAACTTTTTAAAGATTTATTTCGCTTCCGTCTTTCCCACTTTTTTTTACCTTCTCAATCATAATTTCTTAACCGGTATCTTTAGTTTTGCTTTTTTTGACCGTATTAGTTCATTTATTCAGAAAATTAAACTTTTTTTTTGCGATGGATCAGCTTTAAAAGTTCAAATTAAGTTGAGAAGTCTGATTTTAGATGTTTTTCCTTTTTCCTTTTTATAATCAAGAAGTTCATATTCCGACTAATAGTCTTAGAGTTGCCATAGGCCTTTGAACTCGAAAATGAGGTTCGTATTTTTGAACAGTATTTTAATTCTCGTCTTTTGATACGATCATGTTTGAAGATAAAAGTTTTGCCTATTTCGAAATCAAAATTTTTGATCTTTTTTTTTTGTTTTCGCTAGATTTAGAGTCAGGTTCAATTTTGAATACGACAAACGTTTTTTAGTTTTCAGAAATGCGACGGAGCCTTGGGTACAGCAAGGAAAAAACAGGCGATCAGCCGTCAGCATTGTCTATTCGACCTTTCAAAAGCCCGATGGCGGCCTCCGAATCCCCAACCAAAGGCGCAAAAAAGCGGAAAAAAGCAGCCACTTCTACGACAATGCCTGATAAGGAAGAACTGATGGACCCACTCCGTTTCAAACTCGTTGAAAGTATCTCGAAATCTTTGGCATCGGACTCGTCGGCCCACGAAGCCATTCTGACAAAACTTCTTGCGAAGCCTTTTAAATTGCCAATGGAAGGCTATAATTGTAAGTTCTGTGGAAAGCTGGAAAGAGAGAAATCTCGCTTTTTGATGTCGAAGTGATCCTGAAGGCCTAAACGCGCCAAAATTGCTTTATTGAGTAAAAAGAGCTCGGAATCAGAGAAACAATGAAAAATAACAAAACGGGTCATTTTTGTTTCTTAATTTATAAGGAATAGGTGGAGACTTTCAGGTTACCGACTTTGTAAACCGAATGATGTCTTTGCCAGTTTTCAGAAAGATCAAACAGTTTCTTTAAGAGAAAGTTTCATTTTCTAGTATCGGGAAGATGTCTGGGTTTGGGCCATTCGAGAACTCGCGCCGCTTTGTACGATCCGTACCAAGAAGGAGCTTTGGTATTGTTTGCTCCGAGAATTCTGACGGCTCATGAGGAGTTGCAAGCGAATAAGAAAGATAAGCAGGTAGAGGACACTCCCGGATTTTTTTCATTTCATACCAATTTTTTTTTCTGAAAAGTTTGAGCAGTTTCAAGAATTTTTCTAATGCCGTGTTCAAAGTAATTTCCGCGAAATGCAAAATACCCGTTAGAGAAAGAAAAAGATCACTAAATTTTGGAGAGTCAGAGATCATTTTGCATTTCGCGGAAATTACTTTGAACACGGCATAAGAAAAATTGATAGTTTTTCGACAAGGACGCATAGATTTTTGTTGAAAACTGTTTCTAGTGTCTATTTTTTTATTATTAGGGTATCATTTTCGAAAATCCTAAAAAACCTTATGTTTGAAATTAGACATGTCTTGAAAGGGTTTCACAGTTCGAAAGTTTTGGAAAAAAAAGTGACATCCGTTTCGAACAAAATTTTTTACAATTTCCAAAAATTCTTTTGTCTTCTCTCACTGCATCTACTCGGATCTCGGTAACGGAAACCAAACTCGTTCTGGAAGTTTCTATCCAGCTCAAGGGACCCCCTAAGAGTCCTGAAGCCGCTAAAGGGATCACTAGAAACGTTTAGAAACGTTCGAGGTGCGTCCGGTTTGCGTTACCAAGGCCCGAGCATGTGAAAATGAACTCAAAATTTTCTAAGTGACAATTAAAAGAGAAGCTTTTTCTGAACTTTTGAAAAATTAGCTGCAAATGCTTTCATTTCAGGTTCACGTCGTCGTGGACCCGGTTCTGTGCAAAGTTCTACGACCACATCAACGGGAAGGCGTCAAGTTCATGTACGACTGTGTGACGGGCTCGAATATCGAGGGCTATCACGGGTGTATCATGGCCGACGAAATGGGTCTCGGCAAGACCCTTCAGTGCATCACGCTCCTTTGGACTTTACTCCGTCAAAGTCCCGACTGCAAACCGACTTTCTCCAAGGCCATTATCGTCTGTCCGAGTAGTTTGGTCAAGGTCCGAGCGTTTTTTTTTTTGCGTTTTTGGACTTGGAAGTTCCCTGCAACTCTCATGCTGATCAGGTTGAGCATCCGCTCTAAAACGGGGTCTCTTTTTTTCACACAGCAGAGACACCCTTTTAGCACAGTTGGGTCTTAGATTTTCGAAATAAAGTCAACTAGGTCACTTATTTATACTCACATCTGTTTTTCTCTGATTCAGCAAAACTGAAACTCAAATAGCTTCAAAAAAAACACGGGATTGATACGGGTACACCCGCTGAGACACAAGATCATCATGAGAGAAGTCCTTATTTGACAAGGAAGTTTTTCTTTTTCATGGGAAGTCTTCTCATCTTTTCTCAATTTTTGAAAGAATTTTTGAAAGTGCATTTCCTAATTAAAATTTATTGGTAACAGGTTTCTGAATATTAATATTTTCAGAACTGGGACAAAGAGATCAAGAAATGGCTGGGACAGAGAGTCAACGCGTTGCCCATGGACAGTGGAAAAAAGGATTTGATTATTGCCGGCCTGAGTAAGTTCTTTCTGATTGATATTGTGAGAAGCTGGAGTGAGTCCTATAGGTAGGAAAAAAAAGCCACCTACGCAGGTTGACTAATAGACTTCCATTTTAGAAGGTCCTAATACACTCCCTGCAGGACCCACTAAACCTCAAACTTTCTTTAGGTTCCACTCCAGCTTTTCCCAGTGTAATGGTGAAAAAAGGGTCGAATAACCCCAGAAGGATTTCTTCAATGAGTTCAATTCTTTCAGAAAGAAGAAAAAACGAATTTTAGAAGCGTTCATGACGGACGTGAGAGTGCGATCAGCAACTCCTGTTCTCATTATTTCCTATGAAACTTTCCGTCTTTATGCCGACATTCTGCACTCGAGTCCTGTTGGGATGGTCATTTGCGATGAGGTTTCCGATATAAAACGGAAAAAGATGTTTTGAGGCAGATAATTTGGGAAAATCTAATTTTTTTTATAGTCCATCATTTAAATATGAAGATTCTCATAGCGAGATGGCTGCATTTTTTTCGATTTCTTCAAAGTCTCTTTTTTTCCTCTCATCAAAAGTTCAAATGGAGTAATTTATCACGATTTTGCAGATATTTCATTTCAAAAAAAGAAAATGTAACAAAACTGTCAAAGATTCTCATTAAAACTCTCTTGTACCACGTATTTTTTTTTTCAATTTACTTTTCATCATTTTAGATTAGCATGATAGTTCATAGTCAATTCCAAACCCTTCTAGGAAATTTCCTGAAGGAGCAGGCACAAAGCTCATGAAATTCTCGAGACGAATTGCCATTTGCCGTTTTTTTTTTTCAAAGGTCGGATGAAAAATGATTTTCCCCGATTTTTCTGTAAATGAAAAAAGCGACCCTTCTTCAACAAAGGAAATTTTTCTCTCATACCTTAATCTATCTAAAAAAACTATATTATATCAGGAAAAGTGGAGAGTAATTAATTAATAGCTAGTTGAAGACTTATTTCATTTCCAGAAATATTGCCGAAAATGGTTTCCCACTTTAATGTATATTGTTTCAAGTAGAGCTTCCAAAACTCCCCGAGAAAAAATTGGACTAATAGTCAGTTTATTCTTACAAATGAACCTCCAAATTCGAGGGTCATCGCCTGAAAAACAGCGACAATCAGACTTACCACGCGTTGAGCGGCCTGAAATGCGCGAGAAGGGTTCTCATTTCTGGAACTCCCATTCAAAATGACCTGTTGGAGTACTTCAGGTGTGCGGTACCTTTCAAACAAAACGAGCTTTGATTTTCAGTTTGGTCAATTTTGTCAATCCTGGCCTTCTAGGGTCGGCCATCGAGTTCAGGAAGAAGTATGAGAACGTCATTTTGAGGTGGTTTGAGAAATAAATATTCGAATGGTTTCATCGATTAGGGGCCGCGACGCGGACGCTTCGGACGCCGATCAGAAGCAGGGCGAGGAGAGGACCAAAGAGATGGTTGCTTTGGTGGAAAGGTGTATCATCAGAAGAACTTCCTCGCTTCTTACCAATTATTTGCCGGTACGTACAAATTTTTCGAGGGGGTTGTAGTGAAGCGTCAAATTTAGAGTCAAACGAATTGTCTTACCAGAATTTGACCTCTGACCAGGCTTGTACGTCAAGCTGGTTGGCCTGGCCAGTCCCGGCCCGGCCCCGTCTTTGGGCCTCATTAAAGTTTTTTTGAATTGTGAATCCATTGAAGGATTTTTTTCATCCTGACTCAAAAATTTTTCAGCGAAATGTTTTTGGCTGGTCCTATAATAATATCTTTTTCAAAAAGAATACTTTTTTTGGTAAATTTTTCAGTCTTTTAATCTTAGCCTCTTATCTTATATAATAGATTTCTTTCCTCTTCTCCAGTAATGTCTTTCATGCATTATTTGCTAATTTAGTCATTTCCTTTTCAAATTATCACGTTTTGAGGTGAAATACGAACACATTGTTTGCTGCCAAAACACGACGTTGCAAGAAACTTTGTACAATAAGTTGATCGAATGCGAGAAGAAGAATCGCGTTTTGGACAAGGATAAGGTTGATTTTTCAACTGGGAATAACGGAAAAACGGAAAATCATCCAGGGAGCCACCGCCTCGGCCCTTTCCTTCATTACTCACTTGAAAAAGCTTTGCAATCATCCGTATTTGGTCTACGAGGAGCTGATGAAGCCCGAGAATCGGTTCAGAGGTACAAAAAAAAAGGAAGATGTGGGAATTCCGGAATTAAAATTGTTTCACCTCCAAAGTCAGAAAATTTATTCAGAGTGCATCAACTTGTTCCCCGAATCGTTCAATCCGAGGTCATTTGACCCGTCTTTCTCTGGAAAAATGAAGGTGCTCATTTTGAAAGCTCTTCCTCAATTTTTTACTGTTTTCAGGTCCTCGACTATATCCTGGCTGTTACGAAGAAAACCAGTGACGATAAGTTTGTGCTAGTGTCAAACTACACACAAACTATCGACCAGTTCGTTGAGGTTCAGAATAATTTTATAAAGAAAGCAAAATATGTCTCTATGTTTGTACTGAACTCACTAGTTAGATTTCTAATCAGGATTTTTGCTTCTTAAGCCATTCCCTATGCGAGCGATTTTCTAATATCAATTGGGAGTTCTCCCGCGTAGATACGAAAGAAGCAGCAAATTTTAATTTCATAGTATTGAAAAAAAACCGCTCATAGACAAGAAAAGTATGGAAAGTTCTGATTCTTCATCATTAACAGGCTATTTTTTTCATCTTTTCAATACTTGATTCTTCTTTCCTTGGGAACTACAGAGTGATCTCTATAGGGGCTACCTTACATGTTAGGGACCCGACGTGCCAGTCGATTATTGTCATGAACTCTATGAGAAAAAGAATTCCCATGCGAAAAACTCAATGAGGTCACGTGGTTCGAAAGAAAAATATGAACAGAAGATGAATTGTTTGCTTTTGTCTTTTTAGTTTTTCCATTCTGAGCAAACAGTTAAAAGACCTTAGAAACCACTTAAACTTCAGGGGCTCTAAGATCAGACCTTCAACTCCCATAAGACCGCCTAAATTTAGCTCCATAGGGGGCACTTTCATGACTAGAATGAAAAAATCACGATGAGCCGATTGTCCTCAATTTTCAGTTGTGCCGTCTCCGAGGCTATGGATTCGTGCGATTGGACGGTTCTATGTCCATCAAACAGCGCTCCAAAATCGTCGATCAATTCAATAATCCTGAAGTTTCGAAGAGAGAAATCAACTGAGACAAGCTTTTGATGTGTTTCAGAGCACCGAATTTTGCTTCCTGCTTTCTTCCAAGGCTGGCGGATGCGGCTTGAATTTGATCGGGGCCAATAGGTGAAAGAAAAAACAGATTATCGATGGCGTGTTCATCAGACGAAAGGGAAATCGTTCAGGAACGCAAGGAAGTTGTTTCGAAACAGAAATTAGTACTGTTTTAGAGTAATTTCGAGACGCCGATCAACACTTTTTGCGTTTCGAAACATGTTCCGTTTTTTCCGATGAAAGTAGAGGAATTTCAGTTTCAAAATTATTTTGAGATTTTTGAGGCTAAACCTTGTGTGACCATAGGCTTGAATAATTGACCTAAACTTATCAAAAAATGACCTCAAATGAACATTTTTTCATCATTATTGTTATCATTATTTGAAGATTGGTGATGTTCGATCCGGATTGGAACCCTGCCAACGACGAACAGGCGATGGCGCGCGTTTGGCGTGACGGACAGAAGAAAACTTGCTTCATTTATCGATTATTGGCGGTTTCTTGAAGAAAGTCTCGTGGAAAAAGATCATGAGTTAAGACGGGCTCGATTGAGGAGAAAATGTTCCAGAGACAGACGCATAAAAAAGCCTTGAGCTCCTGTGTGGTTCGTTTGGTGTTTCGAGTCTAAAATATCCATATAACCTTTTCCGCGCCATCCGGTCTATATGCGGCTTGTCTCTGTGCATGCGTCTTTGAAATAATTCGAAGGTTGAATGATAGGCGCAGGCATAGAGACATAGGCAACTATTGCATAATTTCTCACAAAAAAGGTGAATTTACTTTGCAATCGGGAATTTTTCGAAAATCGTCCAGAGCACTCCTCGACGTACCTGAAAAAGATCCTCAAAGTCTCAAGATGGGCAATTTTCAGCAAACTTCCAACCTCAAAGGAAAATGACCTTTTCTGTCAGATAGAAAAACGTGATATTACCTTTTCAATGAAGATAAATTAGGTGGACGCTGGCGAAGACGTTGCGCGGCACTTCAGTAGCGAGCAGCTGCGAGAATTGTTCAAATTGGAGTCCAACTCGGCTTCTGACACTCATGAGAAGTTTGTTCTTCTGATAGAAGGCTGTAAATGTCACTTTGTTTTCGAACCTTGTATGAAAGACTCTTATAGAAGGTTCTGTACGGGTTGAAAATTATTTTGACTTCTGAAAAGTAAGTTTGAGTTATTTACCATTTTTGTCAGCTTTCTTATTCGGACAATGCAAACCGAACGCGCTTTGCGTATTTTTAGTGACCCCTTCAGCGGCCACGGCAATTTTAAGTTCTCATTACAAACGCCCAGAAACGTCCGAGACGCGTCCGTTACCGAAGTTCGAGTACGGTCTCTGGAAGAAATTGAACCAAAAAAAAAATTATTAAAGAAACGAGGATAAAAACTGTTTTCAAAATTTTTTTTCTTTTTAACTTCGAATTAATGTCTTCACGGAAAGTTGCGCGGATGTAGAAGTTTATATTTGCTGCCAAGTCGCGAAAGTTCTGTTTTACGTGTTTTACTTTATCTTATTTGAGTCAATTCGGAGAAAAACTATGAAAGTATTTAAGTTATGTGAAATAGCAGCTTTTCAAATGACTCTTAAACCTTAAAATTCCTGCGAAATAACATTTTTCATCAAAATTCAACTTCACTTGGCCCCAACATCCTCATCATAGGAAATTTGCAGCTTTCGTATTGAAAAACCAGCTTTTCGAATAACTCTGTAACCCTAAACTTCTAGCAAAGATACCAATTTTCTCCTTAACCTCAGAACTTTTTCAGACTGAAATGCAAGCGTTGCATCAACGGCGTCGAATCTGTTGATCCGCCTGAAAATGCCGATTGCTCCAGCGACCTGTCTTTGTGGTTCCACGCTCAGAAGAATGCTAGAAAAGTAACTTTTCTTGAAGAATCATGGAAAAAATGAGAGATTCGTTCCATAACATTAATTCTCTAGTTTTCACTTCTTCTATCGTTCATCTTTTGAAGTAATTTTCAATTTTATGGATTTAAACAATGCACTTGAAGTAATCTTCAAAATTCGTCAAGAATTCATGACAACAGTTTTCGACAAGTAAAAATAGCTTCTGGTTACTCTCATTTTTTTCTTTGCTATTAGAGCCAAAAAAGCATAGTTCATTTGAGCTAACTTTTAATCTTTTTTGAAAAACATATTAAGCTTCCTTATTCAAAAACAAATGCACCTCTGCATTACCAATGAATAATGAAATAACGGACACTTTTCAAAGCTGGCTGACAACGTCCTGCGAGCGGTTTTCGAGTGCGGATCCTTGTCTTTCGTGTTCCATCAAAAGTCTCACAAGGTTTGTTTTAAAAAATAACAAGATCATTTTTCCTGCCACAAGTTCGCTTCACTAAAAAAAGTTTGGAATAAATGTTTTTTTAGGTTCCAAGTTGTGTATTTATAAACCCGGGTTTTTCTATATTTATATTTTTTTGGAGTTAAATCGTGTTAAACCGGAAAGGTTTCAATGATCATTTCAGCTTGATTTCAATTGTTAATAAGAGTCATGGAAAAATATATGTATATTGTTGAAAATTTGTAACTTCCTCCAATTCAAACCGATTCAACCGATGACTAACATAACGCTCAGTTCAGAAAAAAAGAACAACAATATTTTCTTAGCTTCATAGCCAACTTTTATAAGAATATTTATTCACAGTCAGAACTTTGCGCTGTAAAAAAGCGACAATTTCGTTTTGAAGGTCAATTTCTATCTGAAAAATTTAGGTTGAAGCGAAGAAACGGGAAAAAATCGAGGAAGAAAAAGACGAAGACTACAATCCGTCGGGCGATGAGAACTATGAGGAAGACGATTGAAAGAAAATTTTTTTATAAATGTAAATTTAAAGATTTATCGAGTTTATTGAACGCTATGCACTGTATTCATTCATTCTACTGCTTTGTACTATAGTTATCTTTTTTTTTCTCTCAAAACGGGTGTAACCGTTGTTTTGCTGGTTCGATTAAAGTTATATTCATTTTTCTTGTTTATTTCGAAAATCAGATTTTCATTTCTCCGGCTACACGTATAGTTGATTACTTTTGGAAAAGAGCAGTTGTTTTTCGTTTTATAGAATTTTTCCAGCTTCGGAGAATTTTTACGGTTCTGAAGGTCGGAAGTAGGATGCTTATCAAGGTTTGTCTTGGAAGATTTTCTTCTCGAGCAAGTTTAAGACCGTTTAGAAGGTTATGTTATTTCCTAACTATAAAGTTTAACTAAGGCCTAATTTTCTTGAAAAAGGGATCAAAACGTCACAGAAGGACAACAGGCTCACTAAAAGTGAGAGAAGAAGCTCTTATCTTTTCCTTTTTTTCTTCTGGCAATGTTTATCGTCTCAAAATTTGCTTTGTTCTTCACCTTGCCCAACCTTCAACGTCATTTGTTTTCTTGTTTTACATATATATATATATATATATATTTTGCAATTGACAACCCTCATTTTACACATGAAAAAAAGCGTAATATATATATGTGTAAAATGAGGGTTTTCAATTGAAAAATAACGAAATTTGCATTTTATTTTCAACTACGAACCCTAGGCTCTAAATTAGCAACTTTTTTTTCGAAAATTAACCTTAAATACTTCTACAAGAATGAAAGAAAAGAAATTATCAATATTAAATACTAGCAAATATCGATTCGATAGGTTGGAAAAGTTATGAATAGAACTTTTCCTACGGTTGATTTGTTTGCCATGTAATCGCTCGAATATTCTCTCTCAATTCAGACTTCAGAATGTCGCCGTTGGAAGATTTTCTGAGCGATGGACGGAAAATCGCACTGCGGCTTCTGAAAAAGGCGAAAGTTCTTCAAAAAGAACATCAGTCGATTATCGGCATTGTAGATATTATCAAGGACGCCGAAAGTCTCGTGGGAATTTTTCAATTTTTTATCTTCAGCTTGAAATTTTATCTGAAGTTTCTATCATCGATTGGAGGACTTGCAGATTGACATAATTGAAAAAGCCGACTTGAAACGGCCGAGAACTTTATTGCAAGTGGAGAAGTTATCGGATACTTTGAAGGATCAGCATATCAGCTTATCTCCATCTTCTTTGGGTAATTCCTCGGGCAAAACTGAAAAGCTCCCCAAAAGCTTTTCTCAAAAAAAGACCTTGAAAGGGTCCCCAGCAGATCTTTTTTACATCATTTCAATTCTTTTTTGCGTGTTTTTCACATCCTCTGACAAAAAGGATGCTGGAAAGCAACTAAAAAGATCCGAGAGGGTTCAAAAAGGATCCTCTGAGGCTATGAAAAAGGTGCTTAAAAGCTTTTTTATATCATTTTAGGAGCTTTTAGAGGAAGCTTTTTATCTCCCTCTCAGGATCCTTTGAGGATCCTCAAAGGAACTTTTCAGTTTTACCTATGTCATTGGCTTTTTTGACTTCTTTTCAATTTTTTTGCTCCAAAAAGTTGACGGGTTGCTGGAAAGAGATGAGGAGAGTCCTTGGAGAATACTTATATATGAAGGTTTCTAGCTATTAAAAAAAGAAAAACTGTAGTGCGTCACGATTGTGGCTTTCCTCCGAGCCACGGAACCCTTCCACGAAGCTTCCATTCGATGTGCGCGGCCTGTCTCTTTACGTGCGACTTTAATTTTGCTTTCGTTATATTAAAGGCGCATGCGCACAACAAGCCGTGCCTGTCGAAGAAAAGGGTTCTGTAGCTCGGAGGAAAACAAGACTCGTGAAAAACTGGGGCGGAACGAGCTTCACCGTTCGAATATATTTTTGTGCTTTCCAAGATAAAAGTTCTTGTTTTAGGGTGAGTCAAACCAGAAATTTCAAAACATTTCTCATCGACTTTCAAAAATCAAAGCGATATCTGGGAGCGATTTGAAAATTGTTGTCATTTCGAATTCGACTAGGAAACTGCACTTTTTTGCATCAAGCTATTTTTCGTGGTATTTCGCAAAAGAAAATTTTTCTCTAGAGGTAAACGAGAAGAACTGGTTGAAAGTGGAAAAATGACAGCTCGAAGTTTTTTTCGAGGTTATTTTTTTAGAATCTAACCCCAGAGGGAAAATTCAGAAAAACTAGGAGTAGGACGACAGTATCTTTGAAAAGTCGGAAAAAGTGCAAAATGTTTGTTCCTAGCTTTTTTCTGATCTTTTTGATGAAAGAATCCGTTTTGGATTTCATATTTCTTACTGAAAACGTTGTCAGCAAAAGATCCCTTTCAATGCCCTCTTTTCGAAATTCTTTCGAGCTCCTCTTGGACTTTATCTGAGTGGAAATCCTTTCAAGTTAGCTCTTTGTGTAATATTAATTTGTAGGAATCTCTTCGCCAGAACCGTCCCCCTCCCCGAAAACTCCTTCGCCGACGCCAGAAGTGGCGAGGAAGTGGGAACAGCGGTCGGTGTTGGCCTTGCCGGATACCTCCCTATACTTCAATGTTCTGAAAGAAAACTTTGCCAAGGATCTGAAATGCGAACCGGAGATGTGGTACCACGACGCCGACCGACGTCAGGCCCAAAAAATCTCCAACCAACGCGATCTGGACGCCGCTGTTGTCAGTTTTCTTTCTTTATTTTATCTCTAAAGTTTCAAGTTTTTATGAAGCCCATTTCGGGCAGGTGATCATTCGAATTCCCACTTTTTCGAGTTCTTATTTTCATGTGATTCTTTTTGGTTTTCACTGTTGTAGCCATTGCGCGCCAGTTTGTCAAAACTTTTGCTTCCTCCGTGCTAAAAAAAAATCAAGTCCCCTCCAGAAACCGCAGACGTAATAAGCTACTTTTGGAAATCTGCCATATCGTCTTTCAAGCCTGGAAAAAACGACTCTAACCGGTTTACGGCTGGTTTGAGCCGTCGAAAAAAGGTCTTGACACGATAAAACGGAAAAATGACATCTGGTTGATAAAGAACACAGACAGTGAAACGTTCTTTTGCTTCCGAAAACAGCCATGAGCAGAATTTTCACAGGACGCCGTTCGACGACGAGGTCAGCCCGTTCTGCAGCTGAACATCACGGCCGAGGTCGTTCAGCCGGACGTTCGCGTTCCGACGGACGTGGCCTACGTCGTGCCGAAGGTGAGCAGCGAACCCCTAAAGTGGTCACTGAAAGGGTCTGAGTCTTGCTCTTTCTCATACACAGATGGGAGGATATAGTCTGTCAGACTTTGAGTCAAATCGTCACTCAAGCTCCGCCTCTAATCGGGCGATTAACTAATCAGAGAGCTTCCGAATAACTTAATTGTAAAAATTGTTATTAAAAATCTAAACAGACTATAGACAATGTTTCCGAATAACTTAATTGTAAAAAAATTGTTATTAAAAAAATCTAAACAGACTATAGACAAATGTTCCTCACGTCTTTTGGACAAATCTGTGCCAATTAGCGAACAATTGAGAGGTGTGAGCGCTTTTTTAGTGCTCACGTATAGTTCCTTTTCTTCGATTCGAAAGGCGAGATAGGTTGATTGGCAACGGCTTTTTGGTGGGAAACTCGAGGTCGAAAAAAATGGTGCCCAAAATTCAGAAATGACTAATAGAAGGAAATATCTAATTTTGAGAGTGGTGGAATCGGCGAAACGTTGCCATCAACTCAGGACAAGTAAAAATGAACTAGTTTTCCGAAAATTAGACGAATCTTTCATTGGAATACTAAACGATATGAGACTCCAAATTTTCATGCGTTCCGAATAAAATTTTCTTTCTGTTGTCAGTGTTTCGTTTCGCAGACGATGAAGTATCTCCGGCCTTCAAAAGCGCGTTCGGCGGACTCGTCACGTTTCAGCGACATCACGATGAGTGCGATAGATTCCTACAAGACGAGAGAGTCTGAAAAACTTCCCATACCTTTTCATTTTCAATTTCAAGTCTTCAGAATCATTTCCACGGGCACGTATTCAACGGTGAAGCTGGCTTTCTCAAGAGAAGGCCGGTCTTTCGTCGTCAAGACGGTTCAGAAGCAGGGCGCCAGTTGTCCTACAGAGTCGGATATTGAGTTTTTGAGTAAGTCTTTTTTTTAATTTCTGGTTTGGCTTGTTAGTGTTTTGAAACTCTCATTCTGATGAGGGCAGCCCAGCCGAACTTTTGGTAGAACTTTTGACAATTTTCACTCTAGCACCTCATTTTTCTTGCACCCGTTGTTTCCACATTCGAGCACAACTGAGCCTCAAATAGTTCAACAAAACGCGGGCTTAATACGGGTACACCCGTTGAGAAACCTGGCCATCAGGAGATTTCGCAAAACCTTATAATCACCTAGAAGTCTAGCTTTATTTCGAAATTTCGGAATTTTCGGGCTGGCTCCATTTTTTCCGAGATGCTCCTAAAGTCTTACCGTGTTCGTTCAAAAGGTTTGAGGAAAGGTCCATGGAAACTTAGTTTATCTTATATAAATGATTCTCCAAGGACATGTTTCAGGAAAACTGAAGCACCCGAACATCACGCGCTACTACGCGGTCTACGACGATCCGGAAGGTCAGCCTTTGATACACATTCTCATGGAATTCATGCCGGACAACCTCGACAACTGCATCAAAAAAGAGAGGCCTCTCAGCCTGGACCGCGTCATCAGCTACACTTTGCAGGTCCTTCAATGCATGAAACTTTACGCTCCGTAAATGCTACGTAAAAGCGTTAATCAGTTTCCGCGATAGGAAATCTTCTTATATATTCTCAAATTGGAAGATCGTGAACCGAAAAATCTATCATTTTTTTCTCAGATTGCGGACGGATTGAAGTTTCTACACTCCGAAAACATTATTCACCACGACCTGAAGCCCTTGAACATCCTGGTACGAGGTGATCTCGACTCTCGTGTTGTAAAAATTGCCGATTTCGGGTCGATTGTAAGTCTTTTTCAATGGTCTGACTTCGAAAACCGGCCCAATTATCAGGGCGGACGCCATGGGACGACGCCGCTCTACACGGCGCCAGAAGTCGTCGACGGCAACGTCTCCGACGCGAGGTCCGACGTCTGGAGCTTCGGAGTGATCGTCATCGAAATGTCCACAGGAAAATACCCCTGGGACGTCAGCAAACAGACCAAGGAGCAGATTCCTATACTCCATCGAACTGTGAAGCCGCATATGACTGTGGGTGGCTTTCTAACAACAAAGAAAGATCAGACACTGTTGGAATCATCTCGCAAACTTCTTTTAACGCCAAGACTTTACTTCAGATTTCCTTGACCTTAACTGAGCAAAAATGTTCCTAGGTTTCATCTTTTTCAAAATTTCTTTGTTATTCAACTCCGGATGCATTAATAAGCTCTCAAGATCATTTTTGTTTCTCAAACACTGCTGGAGTCTCCCCGAGGCTGATTTTTGCGGAGAAAACGTAATGGAAACAGAAAATGAGTGGGTCCGCGGAGGACCGATGAAAGGTAAGCGGGAAGTGAGCGAAATCTGTAAACTCATACACTGGCGGTACACTCTTCACCAAAAAAAAAAAATACAGTCCGCGGGTGTCGATGTCGGACGCCCCTATTCTCACCGATTCCTTCCTATTGAATCTCGAATTTTCGGTTTTCTCACCGATCTTCTATTGTTTACTTCCCATCGGCTCTCCGCGGACACTTCGAGTTCGCCTTTCCTGATCGTTTAGCAGATTTCACTTTTAAATATGATATTATTCTCGTCGAAAAATTCGAGAAGCTTGAGACATTATAGTTGAAATTTCATCTAATCATCCTTTCTAGAATATGCCAAGTTTACTCGTCGAGTTGGTCGATGAAATGTTGGCGCCGTTGGATTTCCGGCACACGGCTGAAGACGTTCTCAACTACCTCGATACGGCCACAGAAGATTATTAGGTACGTCGTTTGTTTATATTAATTTACTCTGTTTTGACTCTTTTTCCACAGAAAAGCAATCAAAGTAGGTAGCCGGGTTCGAACTTTTTCCCTTCTCCACTTCATATAAGCGCGCATCCCACCAGGCTACGATATCATGGAACTGTCATGAAAATAATGCTGAAAACGCCCAACAGCTAACACTTTGAAAATTTGATAAAATATAGTTTTTATATATTGAAATGAACGAAAAGAAATAATTGGCTATACAGTTCTTGGAATGTATCGAATCTCTTCGTAGGTGAGAAATTTTAGAAAAAAAAAACTATGAAAAATTTGAATCGATAAGTGAAAAAGGTGTATTTTTACACTCGGGGTAATAAATCAATAAGGTAGCATGAGCAATGAAAGGGTAGAATGAGTCGAAAAAATTTCGGAAAAATAGCCATTGAGAAGATCATCACTTTGTATTTATATTTCTCAAAAAAAAAAAACTGAAAATTGTCTTCTCATTTTTCGAGGCTATTTTTCTTGAAACCAATAGAATAAATGAAGGAGTAAAGGAACCCTGAAAACTTCAAGACTAATACTTCGAAATAGAGCTTTTCGTTGTGATTCACCACATGATAATGAAGGAGATCTCGAAAGAAGCGATGAGCAAAAGAAGAAGAAGAAGCGGAAAAAAGTTATACTCGGTTAAGAATCGGTAGAAGAAAAGATGAGATGAATAGAAGAGCGAACAAGGCGAAGGAAGGTTTAGAGTTGGCTATCGAGGCGACGATCGGCTCGGGCTCTGTTCTCCGGCTTCGGCAGTCATTGGCTGAAATTAGTTTCCTTTATAATTTGGTTCAAATAAGCTGGACTTGGGAAATGTAGGATACTCGCTACAGAATCCCTTCTTGTGGTCATTTTGAGCCGAAAAACATAGAAAACAGAGATCAACACCGGCCTGAAGGAACGCCAGAGAAGCTTTCATTTCTGACGTCTCTTTAAGGCGCCACTACTCTCTCGCTCCCTACATTTTGAATAATAAGGTCTTTTCGAGTATTTTTTAGATTTTCGCGATGTATCAATATGTCGGTATTGTAGCCGGGGTTCGAAACGTAACAGGTTGCTCAATTTTTTTTTCTTGCGCATGCGCGAAGGTTCTGGGAGGAAATTTAAAGCAAATTTTGACCTATCATAAGCCTGGTCATTGTAATTTTCTATTCGTGGACTTTTCGAAGTGTTTTCTCCACTTGTTAGAAAACTTTGAGAATAATATTGTTTTTTTATACTTCGAGTGCCGTCAAAAAAAGTCTACTCAGGCCTGCTGCTGATCTTTTTGGACATTATAGGCTTGAAGCTTTTATTTAGAGCTGAATAATTTTTTTTATTCGGCAGAAATATTTTCAAAAAATTCTGTATCTTTTCCCAAAAACTCACGATGGGCAGCGAAAGCTTTGGCCTCGTCGATCAGTCGACAATAAGGGCCGTGGACGTCGACAAGAGTTCGATGTTTCTCGTAGACTATCGATTCATCAAGAACCAGGGCTTTCCTCTCGATTTTGTTGTACCTGGGCCAGAACGATCCCATTTGTCTGGAAGTTAGGAAGAAAGGTTAATTCGTATTTTTAAGTTTTTCTTGGACTTCGAACTTGGGTTTTAATGAAAGTTTTCGACTTTTTCGGATCTCCTGAAGGGTGATAAGCTAATATTTGACTACGAACAGTGAATAAACATTCAGTAACTTTTTAGAATCAACCTTCAATCTCTCCTTATACAATTTTGAAGCCTATTTCTTACAATCTTTCTTGGATTTGAACTTCAAAAACTGCGGAATATTCTCATCTGGATTTCTGTATAAAAATTCTTCATCAAACTGAATTTGACTTCTTGAAGTTTATTTTTACTCTAAAAACCGACAATTTCTTCTCAAGTACTATATATTGTTGTTATTATGGCTCAGAATTTTATCCGTGGACCAGCTTCAATTCAAACTTTACAAACCCGGAGTTGGCAAAATCGGCCCAAAGACGCATAATTGTCGACGATAGCTTCTTCTCCGTTTCCAATTCGTTCTGAAACAAAAATTGAGAAATACTCATTAAATACGGAATCTTGAGGCTGAGACACACCTGGTCGTAGAGGTGAGGACGCCAGAATGGTTGTCCAAACGCGTACTCGATCTCGTAGCCGTGCATCACGCCCATCCATTTCGGCCAAGGGTTTGCGCTGGACCTGCAAACCGAAACTGTGTAACTCATCAATAAACTTTTTTTTTCTCAAAAAAGCGTACCGATAAGTGAAGTAGTACATGTAAACGTTTCCGAAGACGTGCTCAGAAAGAAGATCTGCGAACTCGATTAAAGAACAGGTAAAGAACATGTCACCGAGGAATCGAGCGACGCCATCGCGATATCGCTCTCTACAATCGATATTGTAATAAGCCTCCAAAAAAGTCTGACCTTTCATTTGAACTGTCGGAAACGTGTTCGTAGGTGTACATGAACGAGTTCTGGACCAATGGCGATCCGGCAAAGTATGGCATGAACGCCTTCATCGACTCTCCGTATTGCTCCCTGAACACGTAATTGTAACGTCATCTGGAAGGTCTTGAAAACCTGGAGATGAGAGCTCGGTTGTGTGGATCCTCAGCCGAGATGGTGTGATTGAAGGCGAAACCGAACTTCGGCGCCGCCATGTAGTAAGGCAACCAATATGTTCCTTCGTCCTAAATTCCAATTCCAAGAAAGAAAGGAAGACGTCAAAAACCTTCACACTGCCAAATATGATGTTAACGTCCTTCTTGAATTGTCGCGTCCGCAGCTTGTGGAAGATATCGCCTTTGAAGAAGGTGACGTCGGCTGAGACCGGCACGAAGGCGAACGACATCAGAAGACCGATTTCTATCGAAATTTTGTCGGCTTCGTTCTAAACGGATGAGAATTTTATTGGTAGTTTATTAATTTGGTAAGACATCTTTGATATTACCAGAAAAGAGGTTTCAAAAAGCTATTTTTAGGCACCGATATATGAGAAACCATGATTCCATCCAGATCCTCACCTGAACGATATGCGCCGGCACTAGTGCTAAACATTTGGTGACCTGCTCCACGCCGCCGCTGCAGTTGACCCGTTTCGCCAGTTTGAGCGACAATTCCAACATTTTATTCGGCGTGGCACTTGCCCAGCTGTTCAGGATGGCGCCGCTCTGAAAGAAGTCGATATTCTTCGCCTTTTTTCTGATTAAACCTTTGCAATGATGTTCTGGAAGTAGTTATGGGAATTCGGAGCAAATAAATGAGCCGTGACAGATGCTGAGCCGGCGGATTCACCAAACAGCGTCACTCGGCTCCGGTCGCCACCGAAGGCACCTGGTTATTATTGATTGATGATAATCGACTGATAAGAGATTTACCAATATTCTCGTGGATCCAACGGAGAGCGAGCTGCTGGTCCAGGAGGCCCATGTTGCCTTGGACTGGCGAGTCGTCGCCGAGGTAGAGAAACCCGAATGGACCAAGCCTGACAGATTTAAAGCTCGTTTTAAGATTTAAAAAAAAGTCTTCAGATTTCGTTTTTGTTTCAAAGCAGAATAAATCTTGCATAGGACTTATTGGAGATTCAAAAAATCTAATTTTCGGTTTCAAGTATGGTGAACAAGGCTTTCATCAACTTAGAAAAACATTAATAAACCTGTAATTAACATTAACAACAATTGTGTGCTCCTTGGCCGCAAGCACCGTCCCACTATACAAGTCCAACGATGGGGAGCCACTGAAGAAGCCTGAAAAATGAATCTTATTGATTAATTTGGAAGAGAACGCACCTCCACCATAAATCCAGACCATAACAGACCCGTCATGTTCTTCTGGTACCCAAATGTTCATGTTCAAGCAGTCCTCCGTAATTGCCTAAAGGAAAGAAGAAAGGTTTCCAATGAAAACTAGAGAGACTAACGCCTGGTGGATTCCACATTTCGGCGCCTGGGAACTGCGGAAAAGAGTTGTCGATGGTCAAATAGCAAGTCTTGGCCAGGGATCGTGCTTCTAACTCGCCTGAAAAGAATTTCCTTTTATCATATGAGTTTTGACACTAACCGGTCCATCTTTCGATCATTTCCGGTCGCCCGAATCGCCTCGAGCCTAAAGGAGGCTTGGCGTAAGGTACTCCCAGAAAGGCCGACACTTTGGCGTTGTCGAACGACTGGAAATAGAAGAAAACTTTGAATTCTGGCTTTACTCAGTAAATCAAGGAATATTCGGCGTGATTTTCGAAAATTCTGTCTTTTCAAAGCTTTTAACACGAAGAAAATCTCTCACTCCGTTTTGATCAACAGATCGAAGCAAAGAAAAAACAAGAAAGACTTTATTGAGTGAAAAAGACTTCTTACCTGTCCGACACCGCGAATCGTGCCGAGCGGAGTGTGGACGACGTGGTCGCCACGGGTGATCGAACGAGCTTCGACGCCGACGGCTGAGATCGCGACGACGACAGCGACGACCAGCAGAGTGGTTGGCATGTCGCGGTGCGACGACGTCGTCAGCAAGCGTCACGCCTTCTTCGTCGACGGCGCCGCAGCAGCTCGAGCTTCTTCGTCGTCGGCGTCGCACTTCGGCTGATCGACTCTGTGCGCCTCCTCGTCGTCCGCACGACAAGCATTCACACCTACAAAAATCAGTGATTTGGAAAAAGTTCGGATAACAAAAAACAAGTTGACCTAGCTCCTATTTAGGTTATCTCATCCCTTGGTGCCTTCTGGATCGTTTTTCATAGCATGATATCTTGCGAAATTTCAAGACATACTGACCTCGATTAAAAAAAAAGCTCACCAAAAAAAATATTTTGAAAAAATTCACTTCATTTTTTGAATTATCAGGATTTTTTATTGTTTAAGGAAGTCACGATACATCATTTGAAAGCTTTCGGATGAAATTGATGTTATAAAGCATGACCTAACACGTAATATGTTTACGGTCAGAAGAAAAGCTTTTCAATTATAGCCAAAACGAAGACTAATCATCCTAAACAAAAAGACCTTGGAGATTTTGATATTCAAAAGGTCGGTTAATATTTTTGCAAAAAAAAAATCAGGCAGTTCGAAAAATAAATTTGTTTTGAGCTTTTTTGATTCGAAAAAAAAATAGGAGCTTTCTTTCGGATCTACATATGACTTATTATCTTTTTGAAGCGAAAATGAAGAAGTTTGAAAATTAATTTTGGGAAAAAAACTGACAATTTCGATGGCGGCGACAGAGCGCATAGCGTTTGAGCATAAAAATCTGGCTCGGTGCCCAAAACGTTTGTCGGCTGATAAGAGGGGCGCGATTGTCGGTCCTTCTTCTTCTTCTGCTGCTCTCTGCACCCCACCAAACGAGCGTATCCACTGACCCCGCGGTGATTGCCTGAATTTCGAGCGATAACGTTGGCTAGTGATAAACAATCATAGGAATAGAAGCACTGGAAAATTGGCGGTCGGATGAATCGAGAAGGAGATTGGCTCCGGAGAGCCGGATTAGGTATAACGAACGGGAAATGAGGGGCGGATCGGGAGCAAATTGGTGGCGGTCTTTTGGAAAGCGTTCCGATTTACCTTGTTCGTGTGTACCTTGGAAGAGTTTCCCTTCAAAATGAGATTCAAAACTGGTCTTCAGATGTCGTGAAACGTCACGCAAGCATGTTTTTTTTATGGGAAGCCATTTCGACTTATTTCGATACGAGTGGATTGAATTTGAATTGTTTTCTCGACATAACACAACCGGGTAAAGATGCAGAACTGTTGTTCATGGCATGTCGACCACGACAAAATCGAAGCCTACAGCTTCAAAGCGCAAACGATCTTCGACCGGTCGCTTGAAGTTTTCTGTAACTTGGAAAAGATTCTATCATTTTCGAAGTCAGAAAGCGTTCAACATGTTCAACATGTTCTGCATCTAGTCGGGCTCCCATCTGCGCTCAACTGCCATGAACATCAACCACTCCAAGAACTCTCAAAATGGAGAACTTTGCCCGTAACAGCGTGCAGAAATGTTTAAAGGAACATAAACTGAATTTCTAGAAGTCTCTAAGAGAAAAGTTGTTTTTAAGAGCTGATTTCAGAGCACTGAAACATAAAATAGCATCTCTGATGGAAGCTTTTCCAAATCGGAAATATTTTATGATTCAAAATGTTTGAAATAATTTCAGCTTCAAAGTAGTCTTCTTCTATTCGCATCAACAAAAATATGCGAATGAATAAAATTGTAGTTTTTCAAGAACTAGGCAACAAAGAAAAAAAAACGAACTTTTCCCTGTGAAATCAATAGGCTCGATATTAGCTTAAAAACTTGTAGTTTGCAAGAAATTACTTCGAGGTTGGTATACTTTCTATATTTTTTTGAAAAGATTTTTCGGAAAAAAATAGGAAAAAGTTAGGCCATATTTTGAAGGGGAGATAGATATTTTCTGGAATTCAAAAAAATAGAAATTTGATCTGTTGATATTTTGGTAGGTCCAGAATGAGTATATAAATTTTTTTGGGAACTCATACTAGAATTGAGACTTCGAACTTCTGAATATTTAAAAAAAGAAAAAAATTTGAAAAAAAGAGATAAAAATATTCTAGAAGAAAACAGAAAAAGTAATAATTTCTGAGTTTCTCGAGAAAATAAAACGTGAAAATGTGTCACATGATCGATATGTAATGCTTCAAAAAGTTTTAGATATTAAAAAAAGTCGAACATTTCAAAACAATCAGACCAAAATTTAGCGAAAGTCGTGAATACAATGGAAATATTTTTTTTTTTTTGGTTTTTTGGAACTTCTGACTCATTTTCCCATGGATGTCAACAGATTGCGAAAAAAATTAGAAGAAATCGAGAAAAAAAAAGAAAAAAAGTGATAAATTCTATTTTTATTTACGCCAAGACCAAGCAAAAATAATAAAGTTTGATGTCTCTAGCTCAGTTTTTACGAGGCCTTTACCGTAATCACTGGAGTTATCGCTTAGAGACCCTAAAAGATTTCAGTGTAATCGTCGTAAAACAAGGAGATCAACGCTCACAAGCTGAAGCTCAGTATAAATGTTGCCAAAGGGCGGAAAAAAAAACGATTGTGACAACGATTGTGGACTGTAACCCGCGCCGATGACTAACTCTTCGATTATACCATGATTGAGCGGAGATTTTTCTTCATCTTACTCTGAAGACTGAATAAATTGAAATTGAATTAAATTGGACAAAGACGGAGAAAAAAGTTTTTTTAATCACAAAAAACAATGAATTATCAGTTAATTTCAAATCTGCAGGTTTAAAAAAATTCAAACAAAGAATTGGAAAAAAATGTTAGAGTACGAAAAAAATTTCTTTAAAAAGAAAAATTTGGCCATACTTCACCGGAAATTCAGTTTTAAAAATATTGTATTCAACTTGAAGATGAGCTTAGTGAGCCTAAGAATAGCTTAAAAATCGCCTAATTAAATTTTTTTATTTCTAAATGTTTTTTTTGAATGTATAGATGAGTTTTGGTTTTGCAAAATCACAAAAAAATTCGAATCGAAAAAGCTCAAAAAGTTGCACTTGAAGGCAGGATGAGAAGGAGACGAAGAATGATTATTTGAAAAAAAAAAAGGGGGAACGTCGTAGGAGGGTCCATGGAAAGATGCGATGGAATTAACGAGTCAGGGGGCCAAGGAGAATGGCACAAAAAAAAGGAAAAAAAAACGAAGTGATGGAAAAGCTTTTAACGAACGCGGCGGACTCTGCCGTGGTGGTGGCTGGAAATATATGTCCCCATTCTCGCCATTTTTTCTTTCATTCGTCTATTGTTTTGGCACGTCGTTTCGACTTCTTTCGACATCATATTATTGAATTATTGTTGGTTGGAGTTTGAACAGATCTCGGAGAAAATAGCCGACGGGGCAGGGTAAATATCGCCCTATTGATGAAGTTTCTGATTGAGATTGTATCAGACCTAACAATGTATGGCTGTTGGAAAAAGATGGCTGGGAAATTTGAAGGCCCATTTAAAGTTATTAAAGGCACACAGAGAACTTACAGAGCCGATGTAGAAAATAAATTAAACGATGAGTTTGAAAATTTTGAAGGTCAGTAAGAAAGCCCAAACTTTGAAGGTACTGTGAGAGGTTCGAAAACACAGGAAAACTGAAATAATAGAAAAAGGCATTCAAAAAAAAAAGTTCAACTGAAATTAATCCTTGAAAACTATGATCGAAAAAAAGTAAGTAAAAAATGAATTTCAAAAATTAAGCATAATTCAAGAGGAATTTCTTCAAATTCCGCCCACGAGAATATTTTAAGAGTTGAAAATCTTAGACCTCGAGGCTAAAAAGAGCAGATAAGGCGTGGGAAAGGCGAAACGTTTTGGCCGTTTTTGTGGACATATAAGATCAAAAAAAGAAATTTTTAGCGTTGGTTATACACTTCGTAAATTGAAAGTATTTTCTTTCGAGTTGGAAAAGTTTGAAAAATTAAAAAGAAAAAAAAAATTAAAATCGAAAGTTCCGAAAGTCTGAGTTGAAGTCCACAAAAATCTTCTGCAGACCTTTTTTTCGCTGATGATATGAAAATAGAAGCCCATTTCCCCTAATCCCACGACGATAAATATTTAATTGGGGCGATCTTCCAACTCACCAGGAATGTCTGAAATTCATTGGGAATGGAATTAGAAGCAATGCAGAGCATACAATTGAGAAATATAGGTGAATGGGATGAATTCATTGTTTATATTCTAAGACTCGATGTAATTGAAGATGTGAAGTTTAAGATTGGGATGAGCATGTAAAGGGAAAGGCACAAACTGTTGAAAAAAAAAAATAATCAAAAGTCAATGAAAACTGAACAGAATAACTTCTTGGAAAAAGTCGCGAAAAAAGGTGATATCATCAGAAAATTGAATCAAAAGAGAGCAACAAGACCAACTAATATGAGCATAGAATGTAGGCGGCCGCCTTCTCCGACATTTTCTTTCCTTTCCCTTTTGTTTCCATTCTTTGCCCCTTTTCAAGTGCTTCGAAATCATCGGCGAACGCCTATAATAATTCAAAATCCTGCAAGAAAATTCCATTCATGAAAAAAGTTCGAACTTGAGGCCTTTAGAATTGTGTGTAGCGGAAAAAAGTTGGGAGAAAGAATATCTGCACTGAATTATTTGGAAAAAAAGGGTCCTTGAACTTGGCTTCCTTCGAAGAACCATGAACAACTGTTTTGAAACTCGAAGTCGTAAATAGAAAATAAAAATTGTTTTTTTTTTCAGTTCTAAATGTCTTCAAATTAAATTTTCTGATCCATTTTGGAGTTTTGAAAAAATGATTTAAGCTCAAAACACATTTTGATTTCGCGAGTTGATAAGATATCTGATATATAGTTAGCTCAATATTTATGAGAAGAGAAGAAAAAAGTGAAATCCATACGGAACAACAGGCGTTTCGACATTTGAAACTTCATTAATGGATAGCTGGAAAAAAAATGGAACTTCAGATTTCTTGCTAACTCAAAATTGAATCCACTTTGGGGGACAAAAAAACGAGAAAAAACAAATACTTGAATGAAGTCATTATTATTCCACCTTTTGCCCTCTTTCAACGTTGATAAAAGAAGTTAGAAAGCTTTAACGATTTTTTCGCTCGAATTTATTTACTGTAGGTCTAAGAGAATTTGGTCTGCAATCGTGCGCTGCCGTGTGATGTGCAGCACATTTTACTGTATTTTTTAAAACATGCCTTCAAAAATTTTCTTTTTAATGTTAGTTTTGCCGTTCAAGATTGTCTTCTGACTTTTTTTGTATGTTAGAATTTTTATGAATGAAATTAAAACAAACAGGGAGCTTTGAAAGCATTTTTCAAGCCATATAAGAATTTTCTATGACTTTGAAAAAAAAAAATTTGAAACGGCGTCCGCTGAAAATTTCAAACTAACCTCTACAAAAAATATTCCATGAAACACAAGTGCGCGAGAATAAGACGTTTGAAAAAAAATTCAGTTTTTTGGGCTTTTTCAAATATCACCTTCAAATAGGTTCGAAAGACCCTACGACCGAGTTTTATTTTTTTCGAAAATACAAAACCAGAAAAAGCTCACGAAAAATCCTGAAGAAGGAAGAAGAATTGTTGAGTGGGACAAAAAGAATAATAATAGGAAGAATTGACCAAAAAGGAAAAGGTGTCGGCCCGGAGAGCAGGTGAGTGCGAAGAGAATCCGAGGAGCGGGGGGCAGAGGGCGAGAAGATTGTAACTGGAGAAGCTCGTAGGCGTCCGTCCCTGCCGTCCTTTCCTTCTTCTGTCTTCGACGAGGAACACAAAATGAAGCGAGGATTCTGATAGCGAACTTTATCCTTTGAGCCGAACCAACGCAACAATAAGCGATGTTCTTTCCAAAAAGTCTTCATCCTTTTTTCGGGATTTTTTTCTATTTACTTAATTTCTCAACGTGAGAACAACATCGGCAAGCTTGGGAACTCCAGAGTGATTTCTATAGGGGCAATCTTAAAAGCCCATGAAAGTCGGTTATGAGGGACACTAAAGAGTGCAAAAGAGGCCCTGTAGGGGCGAGCTTAAAGTCCCTTGAAGGCTCTCTTTAGTGACCACTAAAGCTTGCAAAAGAAACCCTTATAGAGGCTCAGTTAATGGCCTCTATCGGGGACATGCTAGTCGATTATCGGTATGAACTCTATGATAAGAAAAATTTTCATGAGAAAATCTCAATGAATTAGCTTTTGAATAAAAACATCAACAAATCGATCAAGTTTGTCTTTTTGATTTTCAAAGCTGAACGAAAATTTAAAAAGACTATAGAGATCACTTAAGCTTTAAGGATTCAGGGTTCAGCCTCTCAACCCCCATAGGAGGCGCTTTTTTTGTTCCTTATGGCGACTGTTATTTTCTCGGACCCCTATAGGACCCAAGCTCACTCTTAAAATTTTTAAAAACGACCGAAAGTTATAATAATGTTCAA